CCTTAAAAAGTCTTACTTACTATCAGGTTTGCTGGCGTGACTGGTAGGCGTTGAGGTACTGGGTGTGTTACTTGATTTTGATCTGCCCTCTATTTTATACATTGTCTCATCCTGACAGAAGCCTTTCTCAATACTGTCAGAAAACCACTGCACGGACACACAATGCACATTCCATTTTCTAGCACATTCGTACTTCTGACCTTTCAAATTCAAATAAAAGAAAAAGACACGAGTTATTAACAAATTAATGTTTCAAAGAGTGATCGCTGAAAGATGAATTGACATTAAAATTTTAAAACTCAAATAAGTGATTTCATGGTGACAAAGCCCACCTACAAAACGTTTTCAGTAACATTGCTATATCAACTGGGAAAAAAAGGAGCCGTAAAGTGCAGACAGCACCTGCACATACAAATATGAAGAAATCAGACGTAACTGTCTTGTCTCCAAATTCTCATTCTCCTAGGCTATGAAATAAGCTTCTCATTCTTCCCACAACAAACCGACAAACAAGAGGGAAGGAAGGATCTTCACATAGCATCCAGAAGGTACAAAGAATAGTTAAAAATAATGAATCCACTAATTTCAACTAATCCAACTAATTTCGATCAGTGTATAAAATAAGTCCCATCCTACTCTCCCAGAAAACTTAGTTTTCTTTTTTCTTCCCTTCCCTCTAGGATTATTCTTTATTCTTCCCTTCCATTCAGTTCTATCAGGATCTCTGTTTGATTCTTTTGTTCTCCTTTTGTATGCCTTTAGAGCAAAGCCAGTGTGTCCCGTGTTACTTTTCTCATCAACACTATTTCCCTGCATAGAAGCAGTAAGACTACCAGTGAAGCAGACACAGACTGTTTAAACTCTTATGCATATTTACACTACTTCAATTCAAAAAGGGAAAATAATGTTTTCTCTGAGTTCTACCTTTTGGCTCTTGAACTATGAGGTGAGTACATTCATTCATCTTGAGCTGTCCCTGTGTATTGCCCACCGTGTTCAGCCGTGAGGCGCTGGACTTCTTTCCGGTCCAAGCTACTTAAGCCAGTTACACAAATTGTACAGCCAAGAAATATAGGACAAGCGTAGTCTTCCATATTAACATCGGTATATCTCATCATGCTAAAGGAGTGAAAAGGAGAAAAAAAAAAAATCAAGCAAGTAAAATTAACTGGTAGAAGAAATAAGTGTGTTTCACCGTAAGAATTACCAGTCCTCATCACAAAGTAAGTTTTTGTTTGTTTTACCTTTGCTGAGATTTATCCCACAATGCCTTAACCCAAGAGGGAAGCAGAATAGGTTTTTTCAGAGAAGCAGCTACTAAGTATTTCTTGCTGCCAACTTCTCCAGCTATAAGATGAGTTACTGACATGTTGAGGTCTCTGTACACACGTCCACCCATCATCTGCACATATTTATGAACTTCTTCCTAAGTGTGGAAAAACAGAAATAAAGAAAAAAAAATCAGTTCTATGTGGTTTCTCCTAACAAAAAACCCACCTGTTCATAAATCCAAAGTGTATACGCATATGGAAGTGATCAAAAATATCAAATATAAATCCAATTTTACTTACATTTATGGTAAACTGAATATAATACATATCCTTAATAAAGATGTTACAATCATACCGTACCAGGAAAAAAAATTGTACTGATGGTTGTTTTTTTAGGTAGTATAAATTAGAAAGAGATGCTGGAATAATTAAAAGAAAGCATTTAAGATAAACTATGGACACCACAGCTGGCTGGATGTTTAATGTTTACCACGTATTTTGAGAAACCAAAAATACAGCATGTTATCTGTAGCGTGCTAGCTGGAGACAAACTAGCAAGCTAAATGATCTACCCCTTCAGCTAATAAAAATCCCCAAACATACATTTACTCCCATATTAATGATGTCTTACACTTTTATATACATTTATATAATACTATACATGTACATGCATAGATATACCACTACATACATATTTGTAAACTACATACTTACAGGGAGACATCCTCTTTCTCCATACAATTATACAATTCTTTACATAAACTATACATAGTCTACAAACTACAGAAAGACGAGACACGTATACACACAGGCACAGTTACACTTAGTATATATACTGTGATTAATGCCTTAGCAATAAGCCATTTGAAGCAAATGTCACAGAAAAGTCAGCTAAACAATTCATCATGTACAATGCATTACCCTAACATCTTTTTCAAGGCTGGTACAGGATATCGTTACATCGGCCATGGTCATGTTGTACACGGGATACTCCGCTCTTGGGACACATCGCTGGGACTGCATACAGTACAGGACCACCTGAGGTCCAACAATTCTACAGCCAAGCTGCAATGAAATAACAATAACAGAAAACAAGGAAAATGAGCAGAAGGTACACTGGTGCAGGGAAGGTTTTCTTTGTTGCTGAATCCTGAGTGACAAAGCAAGGCCTGTCCTCCTCTAGCATCACCAGGTAGGTGACAGTTCTGCTTTTACTTTCTGCTATTTTCTGTACAATCCTCTTAGGTTTTCTGTTCTTAATAAAGCAACAGATGCTACACCTAGCATGTCACAGAATTCCAGATAGTCTGTCTTTATCTGCTGGACAATTCTTTGCAGATCAAATGAACTCATGTTACTCAGGAATAAAGAAAGTGAGAGCCAACTCAATGACTCCAGCAGAACCAGAACCAATCCTACTGTTTATTTTTCCACTTGCTTCAAGATAATCCGTATTTGCTCATCTTCTTCATCCCTAAATACAGCATGCAGTAAAGTTTTAATTGGGTATACTGAATACTACTATATTTAGTGTGAGAAGAACATGTAGTGTATAAGCAAGGCCATGAGTGCTCCTAGAAAAGAAAGAATACAGCTGACGTAAGCAAGTTGATGGGTAGCATACCTTTTTGAGATGATTGAAAACATCGCCTCTAAAAGGATCGCAAATATAAAGGGATTTGTCATTTTCTTTTATATTGAGTGCTGTTTCTTCTTCAATGATCTGGAGATGTTCTTCCGACTGAAATTCTTTTATGGACTGCAGGAAAACAACTCATATAACTACATGCATTTAATCGACAAACCAGAGTTACTTAATCCTGAGGAAGCTATAAAAGCACATCCCCCACACACAGCCCACAAAAAAAGCTTCCCTGGCAAGAGCATACTGGCAGAACAGAGAGCTAAAACACCAAACTGCTCCTCAACACCCCCCCAGCTTTCCACAACCGTCAGATTTAAAACATTTAGCATCCAAATCGTCACCTCCAGACCCACCCCGGAGCCACCTCACCGGCCCTGAGGGGGAACTGGGGGGGGGGGGCTGCCCACTTACCTCAAGAGCTTGCCAAAAGCACCCCGAGCTGCCGGGAGACCTGACGAACCTGACGCAAAACGGCTCCTGGCCTCCTGTCATCCTCCACCTGAGCACCGAGACCCGGTGAGACCCCCGGCTGTCCCCTAACCGCCACCCCAACCTCCCCCGGCACCCCCACGACCCCTCCCCTCCCCTCCCCTCCCCTCCCGTCTCACCCCGGCCCCTCACGCACCCGCCGCAGGCGGGAAAGCGGCGGCCTCGCACTGCGCAGGCGCGGGGGAGGAGGCGGGAGGGAGGGAAGGGGAGGGGCAGGGGTCGCCCCGCTGCCGTCATGGCGGGGTGGGGCCGTGTGTGGGGAGTAACGGCCGTGCTAACACCGCCCTGGGGCGGGGTGTCCCTCCCCTCCCGTCTGTTTTGGGGATCTCCAGAGGAGACTCCACAGCCCCTCTAGGCAGCCCGTGTCAGTGATCTGTCGCCCTCACAGTACAGAAGTGTCCCCCTCATACCCAGTCAGAACCTCCTTGTGCTTCAGTTTGTGCCCATCGCCTCTCGTCCTGTCGCTGGGCACAACAGAGAAGAGATCGGCTCCATCCTCTCAACACCCTCCCCTCAGATATCTATACACATTAATGAGGTCTCCCCTCAGTCTTTTCCAGGCTAAGCAGGCCCAGTTCCCTCAGCCTGTCCTCATACAACAGGTGCTCCTGTCCTCTCATCATCTTTGTAGCCCTCCTCTGGACTTGCTCCAGGAGCTCCACATCCCTCTTGTGCTGGGGAGCCCAGAACTGGACACAATACCCCAGGTGTGCCAGCTGCTGGGGAGCCCAGAACTGGACACAATACCCCAGGTGTGGCAGCTACTGCTGACACAGGAGGGGACAAGGAAGGCTGGGTCCCGAGCCCAGGTGCTCCCCACCTCTAGCACATACTCTTCCTCCCCCAAGCCCCTAAGTTTATCAAGGGGGTTCACCTAGAATAGGCTTGGGGTAGTGGTGTTGCCAACTTCTGCTGGGGTGCATGGGGTATATATCACAGCAGGCAGGGCCTGGGGGAGGCTTGGGAGTGTGATCATCCCGATTCTAGCTAAATTTCAACCCTAGCTGTCCTTCTGGAGACAGTAGAGGAGAGATGTTTTATTTTTGAGGCTTCCAGGCTATGCATAGGAAGGCAAAAGGCAGTCCTTCCCCAGCAGCTGGCTGGAATCCGGATATGAGCACTTGCAAAACTTGTGCAGGAACTAAAATGAGCTTTGCCTCTCCCATACCACGCTATAGGCAGCTGCCTGGCTCATTAAGGGCAGACAACACCCAGTGAATCAGAGGAGCTCCTGGTCTCCAAGGCTTGCTGCTGTTCGCACGCTGCCCATAGCAGAGGCAGTCACTTTGACAGAAGATCTTCTCAGAATAATTAATGTTTTGTAAGGAGAGGAGCAAACCCGTTTGAATGGCAGCATTGAACATTACAATTGGCCCCACGATGGCGCTGTAGCCCTAAGGACCGAAGAGACTTTGTGCAATCTGTAATTACTCGACGTTAACTCTGCGGTCGCCAGGGGTAGACATTGAACATACTAAAACCTCTTTTGTATTCTTGTTTATTTTAAAAACAGCGTTAATCTTCTAGGATCAGAGTGAGTTGAGAGACAGTCTGTGAAGTAGTGCTCCTCCCATGTCTAATAATAAAACCAGATGTAATGCCGAACAGAATAGCGTGTTTATTAATAGATTGCTAGTGACAAACAGTTAAGGACATTGAAGTTGTCCCGATGGCCCTGCGTTGCTCAATGATGCTGGTGCTTTGCCCACTTGTAAAACCCTGAATTTGACCCGCCTGCTCTTTCAGCATTACAGCAACCTGTTTTGAAGAGGAATTTCTCTTCCTTTTTCATTCTTACAGGCTATTCTATAAAAGGGGAGGTGGGAGGGAGAATGGATCAAGAAGCCTAACGCACAAAAGTTAACCAACTTTAATGGATTGCGTAACTAAATATTGTTGCAGCCTGTTGGCAGAGTCCTTAACTGAATGAACCAGCAGTGCTACCAAGTACTGTCTTTTCTATTATCACCTTCAATATCAATCACAGATTGCTACAGTAGCTGAAACCTGGCTTGTTTCATTTGCTGAATCATGGTCCATTCGCAGTGAAGTCACGGAAACTCTTGATAAGCTGCTGATCTACTAGGCCACAAATCTCCAAGCTCCAGTTCTGTCCTTTGGAAGCTTCTTGTCCCTTGAAAAGATCTGTGCTGTAGGAGAGAACTGCAAAGGATTGGGGCTGCTTTTTGACATCTCTCTCAGGAAAGCTTCTCAGTGTGCTCTTGCACATTTGATAGCTGTGCTTTGTTCCTGTGAGGCTGGTCAAGACACATACCTTGCTCAGCACCCAAACCTTCTAGAGCAAGTAACTCCTTAAAGAAAAGTGTCTTAGGATACAAATAAAAATTCTTGTCAAAAGCTGAATAAAATATGAAAACATTTTTATAAGAAGAATTACAGAAGGCGGAGGGGGGGGAAGGGGGAGGCCACCCTATCTAAAAGTTACTGCATGTAGTTTCCTGTCTCTTTAAAACAGAAATGCAAATATTTGTCATTTGATGTTGAAACTACCTGATTTCTATTTATACCACTTATAAAAATAGACGCAGTATCTTAAAAAATAGTATGCAGTTGAAAAAACGCCTGAATTAAAAGGCGTAGTATGATTCTGTTTTATTTCCCTTGTGGATGCAGTCCAAAAGTGGTGCTTAATATGGCAAAACAGAATAACTTAAATCAAGTGGTCTGATAAGCAAAGATTTCCCTATTTCACTTCCTGCTTTCACATGCACTTGGCAATGTAAAATTTCTTTGGGACTCTTTGAAACATTTCTTTGCAAATATTTAAAAGGACCTGGAAAATAGAGACTACCCTACTGGATAAGAACAGCAATAAAAATATTCGTTCTGATTTTCCTTCCTCCTGAGTTGTCCAAAACCAAATCTATTAGGGGCAATGTAAGAAATGCTAGAAAGACCAAGTTGGCCTTTTATTAATTAAATTATTTATGAATTAAAGCAATAGCACATTTTCTATGTGTTCAAGTGCTTTGCCAGATCTGAACTTAAAGGGGAAACACAATCATATTTGGCCATCAGTATTACCAATTTTGTTTGCATTATGGAAGCTGTTGCTTTCTGTAAAACTCCCAAACAACAGAAAAAAATCATCACAGCCCCTAAATGATACCTGTTTCTAAAACTAGAGAGATGCTCTATGCCCTTGCCTCTGTAGATCAGTGAATCCTTTTACTTTTTTGTGTATGTGTTTTGACACCTTAAGCATCTATAGCATATGCTTATCTTTAAAAACATCTGGGTCAACCTTGTTCAAAAAACATTTTCACACCTCTAATGCTGTTGTGTTTTTGCAGCCTTTACAACTGCATTAATGCCACATTTTAAAGTTGTTTTTTTTTTTGTTTTAATGTAGGCCAGAAAAATGGCAAACAAAATAACTGCACTCAGAAGCTAAAAAGCCCTATTAACTAATTGTCTGCACTTGATCTAACCTAGTTAACCTAGTTAAAGCTCCATGTGTAATACTTCATTTCTGAAATATTGCAAACATACTGATTTGCTGATCAATGACAGGCTATTGTACTCATTTTAATACAAGTAGCATATAAAACAGCAGTTGATTGAAAGAGCATCCTGAAATATCAGTCTTAATTAACTTAGTGACACTTATTTGTGACACTTAATAGTAAAGACTATTATTAGAATAATATGAGGAAAACCCAAAGGGTTAGTACTCAACCACATGCAAAAGAAATACACACTGAAATACTGGAGTCTTTTCTAAATGTACAATATTTTCCCATTTTGCTAGTAAAGATTCCTCATCACAGACCTCAGTAATTTAGCATTATTTACAAAGATTCACAACCAGATGGGATTGAGACTGAGTTTAAATGACTGAGATGACTTGTGTAAAGTACAGTGAAGAGATGTTTCCAAAGAACCAATACCAATTCCTAACCTCTAGTTCATTTCAAATATCGGTTTATGAGCCTGTTAGTTTAAACCCTCAGCTTTATATGTTTTTGGTCTCTGTAGTATAATATTATACAACTACATTCACAAAACAAACAAACAAACAAAAAAAAAACACTTTTTTTTTCTTTCTTTTTTTTTTGCTACAGAATGCTATGTTACCATATCTAGATAGCTAATTTGATACATCCTTTTCATTTATGTACCAATACCCATTACTATGAGGAAAAACAAGCTTTTATAGATATATGTGCCATGATCTTTTGCAGCTGCTTTGGAGCTAATATCCAGAACAGATTCCTCCAGGCTTTCATCACAAGAATTGATTTCACAAAAGTCAATTCCACTTTTTTTGCTAGGCACAACTTACAATGCAGCAGAAACTTCTTGTTCTCCAGTAGATTGCGTGTAGGTGGAGCTAGCACGTTCAGATGGGTCAACATAGAAAACTGGACAGTATTTAGAAAAGTGGGATGCAATTTGCTTTCGGAAAAAGCTATGAAGATATTTTCTAAATTTTTCTCCAGCAAAGGCATAAATCACAGGGTTGATACAACAGTGGATCATTGAAATGGTTTCTGTCACTTGGGTTGCTTTGTGCAGTTGCCCACTGCCTTCACAACTAGAGATGGAAAATGAACCTTGAAAGTCACGCAAGAGAATACAAATGTTATATGGTGCCCAGAAGAAAAAGTAGACAATCATGATGATAAAAATCAGCCTGACTGCTTTATGTTTCTTCTCATTCCTACATTGGAGTAATGTCTTTATAATTTGTGTGTAGCTGCAGATCATAATCAACATTGGAATAACAAGTCCCAGGATGTTCATTTTTAAGGTCAGGAATTGCTTCCATACATTTCTCTGATCTGATGGGTAATGAGCACTGCATGTATACTGTGAATTTTCCTTCTGCGTTTTGTGAAACACTATCCCAGGAACAGAGGCAAGCATAGCAACAGCCCAAGTGACAATGCTGGCAAGGATGCCGTAGGTAACTGTCCTCGCTTTCAAAGCAAACACTGCGTGCACTATGGCCAGATACCTGTCTATGGTCAAGAGGATTATGAAAAAGATGCCACTGTAGAAGCCGAGGAGGTAGACACCTGAGAGAATTCTGCACAACGCTTCCCCAAAAATCCAGTCATGAACAGCATAGTAGGCCCAAAAGGGAAGAGAAAATATAAAGAGCAAATCAGAAATTGCCAGATTGAGCAGGTAGATGTCAGTCATACTCTTCAATCTCTTGTATTTTATCAGGATAAGGATAACGAGCATGTTGCCTGTGAGGCCAAATATTACCACCAAAGAATAAAGTGGTGGCAGAAGTTTAGCTGCAAAGTGCTTTTCCTCAGTCCCCGTGCATGGTGCTGAATCGCCATACTCAAATTCTGTTGTTACAGCCAGGTCAGGGAAATCCACGGTATGGTTTTCCATGGTGTGTTGGTCTGGAAAGGAAGAGAAGGGTGGTTAACTGCAGGAACCTTCAGGCTTGGTAGTCAGGGAAATGAATGCAGTGGTTTTACCCAGCTGGGCAGCTGAGCTCTACCACAACCACGCTCACTCCCCCTCCTCAAAGCTGAAGGGGGGAAAACAACGGAAAGGGCTCGAGCGTTAAGGACGGGGAGATCAGCAGCAATTATTGTCACAGGTAAAACAGACTCAGTGTAGGGAAATTAATATAATTTATTACCTATCACTAGTGGGCTTGCAAAATGAGAAACTAAAAGCAAACAAAACCCACTTTCCCCCATACATCCTCTTCCACCTCCTCCCCCTGAGTAGTGCAGGGGAACGGGGAATGGGGGCTGTGGTCAGCCCCTGTTGCTTCATCTCTGCCTCTCCCTCACAGTCCCTCTGCCCCTGCTCCCCATGGGGTCCCTCCCAGGGATGCCATCCTTCCCAAACTGAGCCTATATTGGCCTCCCACAGGCAGCAGCTCGTCAAGCACTGCTCCCACACGGCTCCATCCCACGGGGTACATCCATCCCCCAGGAGCAAACTGCTCCAGCACGGGTCCCCCACGGGTGGTGGCAGCTCCCCCCAGACCCCTGCTCCTGCGTGGGCTCCTCTCCACGGGCTGCAGCTCCGGCCCGGGGCCTGCTCCTGCGGGGGCTCTCCATGGGCCGCAGCCTCCTCCAGGCCACATCCACCTGCTCCACCGGGAGCTCCTCCACCCATGGGGGGGCTGCAGCGTGGAGATCTGCTCCATGGGGGACCCATGGGCTGCAGGGGGACAGCCTGCTCTGATCTGACGTGGGGCAGCTGCTGGGCTCTGCTCACAGAAGCCAGCCCTGCAGCCCCCCCTGCTACCAAGCCCTTGCCACGTAAACCCAATACAATGAAACACAGTGACAGGGCCTGGCCACCTCCTCATTTTGCCTGCCCCTTCTGCAGCCTCACCCAAGGAAGAGGAGGCAGCAGGAAGGTGTAGGTGTACGCCCACAAGGGCTCTCTGGCACCAGTAAACCCTCAGTGACCACTGCTTGTTGAGGTTACTCATGGCTTTGAGCCTTGAGGCCTCTGGGAATGGGGTCAGTGGAGGTGTAGAAATGCCCCTTGGCAAGGAGAGTTAAACATACCCAGCTGGAGAAGCAGCAAGTCGACGGTGTTGGTCTGCAGGGTGTTGGTCAGGCCGGGGCCATGAAACTGGTCTGGTCTTCAGTAACTCTGGAATAAAAATGTTGTGGAGCCCTGTGTTGTGCGGGTTATGCTGAGCACACTCAGTTGATGACCTGCCGGGAAAATCACAATAGAAAGAACTGGTAGGCAACACCTTCTCGAACGGCATAACTGGTTTCAGTTGCTGTCAGCATGGCATTTAACACCTGCATCTCCTGCAACACTCCTCCTAACAACTTAAAAACCTCCATGGTGCTCAAGGAATAAAGAAGTTTTGATTCCTTGTTTCAGTTGATCCTTAACAGTTATGATTCAGTAGCTCCAAAGTTTAGCGTGGCTACATGTCTTTGAGAGAGCACAGACAGCAGACAGGGCTGTGACTGTGAGGGTGCACTAACAGTTCTTGATGTGTATCTGTTGTTTGATATCATCCTTCCTCCTTTGCTAGTGACTATTGCCAGTGAGGTGACAGAAATTGAGGAAGTGCAAAGGCTGATTTTGGCTGTGGAAAACAAAAGAATTTCTGCATGTCCTGTGAGGAGCTGGGAATAGGATTTTGTGGAGGCAGGTATAAGAGGGACCTACGGTGCTTCCCAGTCACTAAGTGGGGAAATTGATGCATTTGGTAGCCACTCAAATAGAGTTACTTGCCATTTGGGAAAGTACCTACACTTTTTTTTTTTTTGAGGGCTGAGGGGGGTATCATGATGACTGCTTTCATCAGGCGGTGCATTTTCATGGCAGAATGATGCCTATTCTCTTGACAAGGCAGCAGACTGCTTCTGAAACAGAAATCTTCAGGTCCTGCGCCTGTCCCTACTTGCTCTGTCATCTCTGACCACTTGTGTAACACAGCAATGATCGCTCCTTTCCTGTTTGCAGCCTCGCTGTGCACTTTTTTCCAGTGGAGAGGTCTGCCCTGTGAGTCTGCAGATGTCTTTTGCAGAGACCACATTGTCAAAAATATCACTTCATAGAACTCTCTGCACTCGAGTTCTGCAAGAGTAAATGGAGCTGAAGAGCTCAGCCCGTGGTTGGAGTGACACTGAGGCAGGCTGCTGGTCTGCTTTTCTGTAGCTCTTAGTCATCCATTCTGATTTACACTACATGAAATCACTGAAACATCTTGAGTCTAGAGATAACTGTTTGGGTGAAAGGAGTATTTTCTGCTGTAAGAACAGTTCATGCAAAATGCTAATGCCCTCACCTTAATTTTCAGCTAAATGCATAGTTTAGCTAAACCTAAGGTCTTGGAGAAGGGGCTGGTTGGTGGGTCTTGGTCCACATTCCTGTGACCTTAAAAATGAGGATCTGAGTCTATCCTGAGCTTGCTATGGCAATTCTGTTACAGAATAGTGCAGACATGAATCCCTCCAACAAGGGGGAAGCCTTATTGGAGCAAAGTCTGCACCTTCCAAACAAAAGGACATATTGCACTTGCAGACCTTCCCCCATCCCTTCCTCCTTTTCTTCCTGAATCTGGCTGTTAACTGCTGCCAGTGTATCAAGATCGAGAATGCTCTTGTTGAGGTATTGCTTTGACATGTAGAGTTTGGAAAGAGGTTTGCTTCTGGAGAACAAGGAATAAAAGAAAATTCGCAAGTTTTAACAAGTTGGGTGCCAAGATAAAATTTCTTGGGGAGGCAATAAGCATTGTCAAAGTCCTCAAAAACTGTTTTTCAGGTAGTTGTGATGACCTCTGTGAAACAGTTTTTTTCCATAGCTGCACTAACTACATTATCATTACAATACTGAGATCATGGTTTTGTTGGTAAAGGAAGTGGCTGTGGCTCAGGTGTATTGACAGTAAATAAGTAGATTTGAAAGTCTCCAGGGGTTTAGATTTTTCAAGTACTTTCAGAAACTTTTCTTTTTTAATAAATAAATAGATAAATAAAAACCGAGCACCTTTGTAAAGGAATTCTTGGTCCAAAACAGTAACTCCTTTATTTCAAAAACATGCCAAGACTTGAGCACTGCACAAATACTTCAGACTCCTTTCGTCTTGATCTATGTTGCATGCCCTGACTGCATAAGTCCCTGGTACTGCTTATAGTTATGTATCCCTATTTCCAGTTTGTCCTTCCACTGTGCACAGGGACTGTGGGATGAGGGGACTGGCTGCACAGCAGTGCCAACCCCAGCATGTCCTAGGACCAAGGCCAGTCTGACCCCCCTTGCTAGTCTGACCAGCAACTGGTAAGAGCATCAGCAGTTGCTGAAAATGAGGAGATTGTCCTGCTGGGCAGAAGCCAAGCGTTGTACAAGTGTGTGTTCTCCTCTCCCATGGTGGAAGGGTTTGAAACCACAGCCCAGAAGAACAGTTGCAACCGCAAAGCAGGCAGGAGGCCGCTAACCACATCAGGGGGGCTGGGAGCATGTCCTGCACTCAGCAGCGCTTAGGAAGGGTTATTTCTCAGCCTGTTAACTCTGGATCTTGATCATTTGTACACCTGCGTGATGCCCATACATAAACGTGGCTATGAAAAGCAACTGAGTCATAAACCCAGAGTGGGATTTTATAAGTATGTGATTGATTGGTAGGGCTCATGCAAATATCATTGCAGAGTGCTATCTCGATATTACTGCAGCGGTTCCTTTCATGGCAGCCCCTTCTTCCTGCTCACTCCCTTCTCAGGGCATTCCCTCCTCTTTCATTCCTCTGCCTTCTTGGAATGAGAACCGTATCTTTCCTGTTTCTTATACCTTCTTCCTTTCAACCCCTTTTGCATGCTTAAATTGTGGTCTCCCGTCTGAGTGGTTCTTTCCGCTAACTGAGTCTAGCCTTTGCTTAAGAAGCCTCTCTCTGCAAAAGCATTTATTACACTGAATTGCGTGTAGTATTCAGTTTATACGGACAATGGAAGCTACAGATGCTAATATGGAAAATGGAAAAGGGAACTGCCACGTAGTTTTGTACTTAATCCTATAGTCTCAGTGTTTTGAATGCTTCACTGGATTCATTGACCGGGCTTGCTTACCTAATTAGAAATATCTGACCAGGCTTGTGTTTCCTAACAGTGGGAGAAAAACAAAGATCATCCTGGAAGATCTCTGAAGAAAGAACATTTCAAAAAAAAGGTCTGTATTATTTTGAATAGAGCTTAGATACATGCAATACTTCTAGAAATTGCAGTCTCCTGTAAAAAATCTGCTGTTTTGGTTGAAACTGCTAGTCATGCAGTTTTCAAGATAAATGCTTCCATAGGCAAGCTGAGCAAAATTTTATGTCACTGTTTCGTACTGAGTTTCAGGTCAGAGCTCTCTGTTTTTTAAAGAGACAAAAATTTTATTAAAACGAGTTTCAGTTCATTTGCACCATGCTTTAAAATGATAACAATGGAAAAGGTGCAGTGAATGGAGGTAAAATGCTAAGCTATGCTGCATGTAAACAGGTTCCATTGGGCAGAGCATTTAAAATATATCAGATTTTCTGTAAGGGAAATAAGTACTCCTGCACATCCTGCAAGGGAAATAAGTACTCTTCACTCAGATAAGATGTTTTATCTTTGCATTCAGAGTTCTAAAATCCAAATTTCCATCATGATATATCATCTTCAGAGAAAATAAATGTTCATGTGTAATCTGTTTATCAAAGAGCCATATTCCATTATATTTCATACCCCAATCAACCTGTAGAGATTTGTTTCTTCTAGCGGTTCTGTCCTTTAAAAATAGGGTATTCCATTTAACATATCCTATTAATTTCCCTGGGGCATTTTTTAATGTTGAGTACACTGTCAAGATTCAAAGTTTTTTTTTTTCACCTCAGTCATTCAAGTACCTAAACAACTACTAAATGCAGAGGTTGGAGGTAAAAAAAAAGGAAAGATAACTTACCATATATCTCATCGTGGAAGTGATGGCGTGGGTCAGTACATCGAGAGTAACGCTTATCCGATTTGTTACCCACTAGAAGAAGGTTGAAAACACCTCTTCCTGCATGAAGAGGGATGTATCAGATTGAAAACTTCTAGCAAGCAAATCTGTTTTCATTTAAAAAAAAATCAAGGAGCAGTTCTCTTTTTTCTAAAAATGGGTCATCAGATGTTACTTTTCTAACTGAGATGTGCAAAGAGATGTTGAAATTTGTGGAGGATCCTCTTAGGAGCTGAACTCAAGGTTTCACAATCTACAGCTGTAGTTATAGAAAAAGGTTTTTATATTGTTTTCTTTCTCATTTAACTGACCTCTTTGAGTCAAAAACAGTTTACATGAGGTTCACCCCTTTACATTTCTCGATCATTGTATTTCTTTTATGACATTTGTCCCTTAACAAAAGTGGAGAAATTAGCATACACCTTTATTCATTTATATCCACAGAGTTACCTGTGCTTTGTGTTGGTTTGCTCTGAGCTGCAGTTCTTATATTTTAGCAGATTTGATTGATTCAGTTTTTCTCCAAACTAGTCTTTCAAACTTTGACTTAGTCTGCGTAGTGTGTCTAACCTTTTAAAACAGCACTATTACTGCAGAGAATTAAGCTTCAGGAAAGCCTGATAAAATGTGATCTCCTTGTCCTTCTTTATTTATGTCACTGTGGTTGATTCCTGTGACTTTTAGACAGAGTTAAACTAAGTCTGCACTGTGAGTAGCTGAGTAGCTTTTTAGATCCTTCTTAGACATCAAAGAAACCACACAGGAGGGAGGAACAGGACAGAGAGAGCAAGTGAGAGATGGTGCCTTGTCAGATGTCTGAGAAGCCCTGAGTAGATACCTAATAAAGTACAAACCCCTGCCTCCCCTTGACATCCTTGACCCTCTTTTTTAAGGTTTCTGGAGTATCTTCTCCAATCAACCTCATGGAGACCCTAAAGGGATCTCTTTCCCACACTCAGTCCATAGTATCTTCAAAATATTTTAAAATGCAAATGGAAATGTCTTGCTTCAGATGTGTTGTGGTTCAACCCAGCAGACAGCTAAGCACCACAAAAATGTTCACTTACTCTTCTGCCTCCCACAGTGGGGGAGAATTGGAAAAAAAAAGAAAAAAAAAAAGAGTGAAAAACTCATAGATTGAGATAAAAACAATGTCGTAAGACAGAAAACAAAGGGAAGAAAATAGTAGTAATAAAGATAAAAAAATACACAGAGCGAGTGATGCACAACGCCACTGATCACCACCTGCTGCCCGATGCCTAGCCACACCTAGAGCTGCAACAGCTCCCCCAGACAACTCCTCCCAAGCTGTTATTGCTGAGCACGACCCCATAGGGTATGGGACATGGCTCTGGCCAGTTTGGGCCAGCTGTCCTGGCTGCGTCCCCTCCCAGCTCCTGGTGCACCCGCAGCCTCCTGGCTGGCAGGGCGGTGTGGACAGCTGGAACGGCCTTGGCTCTGTGTAAGCAGTGCTCTGCGACAACTAAAAGATCGGTGTGTTGTCAGCATCACTCTCTTCTGAAATCCAGAACCCAGCTCCATACCAGCTACTGGGAAAAAGATTAAGTCTATCCCAGCTGAAATCACAGGGCAGGGTGCTGCTTTTCTTTGATGGAAATCAAGGGAATCACTGCTTCTCAGTTAGATCTCAGACTGGGGGGAAGAGTAAAATGGGAAAAGCTCAACCTGTGTACCTTGTAAACCCCTCTTTGCTTGAAGGACTGATCAGGGTCTTTATTCCATAGAATTAATATTTTTTTATCTTCCTTCCTCACTTTTCCAATGACCTCTCAAAGAGCTGGTATCTTAGCATCAAAATGAACGGCTGCTGCAGTATATTCTAAGATCATATTCACAGTACCTTACTTGATATTAGACTCCCTATTCAGTCAGTGCAAAGAGCTGCTTTTTAAAATTTTTCCAGTACACCTGTATTAAGGTCCTAAATTGCTGTCAGACTTGGCTGACTCAAATCATGCTTGAAGATTCCTACATCTCTTCACTGATGAAAAAGTAAGAGGGAAAATGGAAGAAAATATATCAGTTCCCTCACTGAAATATGGGAGCATGCTGTATTTCTGAGCTCAGCTTTCAGACTGTAGTCCATAATCCTGTCCCTGGTAGTGGTGACAAAAAGATGCAAGAAACGCTGCCTGAGGCACCAAAGAAATACCTTAATCACATGCAAAATTTAATCCAAGCCTCAGTCACTAGAAGTGGATTTATATTTCTTAGCTTGAACTTCCATTAATTCCAATCTTTTTCTGTATGATTTCTTACTGTCTTATTAAAAGTAGTAGCAATGGAATGGGGAAATGGTCAGTTCAGTGTTTTCTCATAACCAGATGGGGGCATGATTTACTGTCCTAAATGTGGTGTCACTTTACAGCTCAAGGGAGATCTCAGATCAGAATCGTGTGAGCAGAGGGCAGCCACCTATACAGCATGAGTGCATGCTCACCACCAGACTGTGGCACAGATTTACAGCCACAGCATCACCTCATATCAGGAGGACAAGATAAGACCGTGCTAAAGCCTCCTTAGTTCTCCACCAGTGAATGTGTACCTGCACGGCTGCTGCATTTGATCATTTGAGGTGGCAAGCATGGTTAATTATAAGAGTCCTAGAAAAAAACAAACATGAAAGGCCATGCCCTGAAAGGAATTTCACTTTACAATCTTTATCTTCTAATGAATTGTCTCTCGTTATATAAATAATCTTGCTTGCTTGTCCCATGATGCTATTTTTTTTACAAGCTCTGTCTATGCTGACTATATTTTTGTCACAACATATTAGCACTAGTTTATGTTTTGCTCCCTACATAATCTTTTCCAGTGTATTTTTAGTACTTTACTGAAATTTGAGAAAAACAGACGCTTTAATCATGATTTCTGAGAATTTTCCAAAAAGGTATCGTAAAAAATTAAGTTTTCAATGCATAATTTGTAAGCAGTCTACCTATTACAATCAACAGTCATTTTTAGAAGTTATTTCTGAAGTCTGACTCATTGTTTGCCCTGCTTCATTGTCCCTGCTGAGCACTATTACATGTTACTTAACCTGCTAGAGGCATTAAAATCTTTCATGATCTCACACTGTATGAAGAAGGGCAACAGTCTCAAACCTGTTGTTGGACTTGTCTGTTTTTCATCAAAACTTTGATTCTGAAATGCACTCTCACAAAAATCATAGGATCATCGAAACAGAATCAATTAGGTTGGAGAAGATCTCTCAGATCAAGTCCAAATGCTAGCCTAGCACTGCCAAGTCTACCACTAAACCACATCCCTCAGCACCACATCTGCACATCTTTTAAATACCCACAGGGATGGGGACTCAATTACTACCCTGGGCAGCCTGTTCCGATGCCTCACAACCCTCACCAGCTGGGCCCTAAAGGTGGACGAGAGGTCCTCCACAGAGAGGTTGAATAGCTATGACACTTGGCGGCCCAAAACCACAGACACACCCTGGCAGCGGGTGCCTGGGCTGAGGCTTTATTATCAGTGCCTACAGGAGATGTTCGGTTAGCTCTACACCTACTCCAGATAAGCAGGGCTTCTGGCAAGTCCGATTAAATCAGATCTTCCGTGTGCCTGTAGGCGAGTCCAGGTCCCTTGTGCTGTTCACCTGCTTCTGGGGCCATATCTTGGTGTTGTGCTGTTCCTTGATGCTGTTATGACAAGATCTTTTTTTGTCTCCCTCTCCTCTGCCCTGCTTTCCTCAGTGGCTGTCAACATGCCCCTGCAGGACCTGACTTATCCAGTCCGAAGCTCCATCACACCAGCCTGGGACCGGCCATCATCCTGCTGCGTGACCTCCTCCTCCCTGAGGAGGTGAACCTCATCAAACCTCAGCGTTTTACCACAAAACTGAAGCTATTGTTCAAAAATAAAAGGAATGGTAAATGGTTTGGTATGGCTTGGGATGTCACCTATGATGGTTTTACGTTCAGAGACGACTAGGAGTTATGTTTAGTGGCATGACACTCATTTCCTTCATAAAGACATTCCTGAAATAGTAGCGGGTTTTATTGCTCACCTGCGGGGCTCAAGCTGATATATGCTGTAAGTGTGCAGCCATGTTCCCCATCAATTCAATTTGCATTCATCAATCTCTTCTGTCCAGTGATTGATTATATGATTCATCCTGACGGTCATCAGGCCATCCCACTAAGGTATTCAGTAACTCAGTAGTACGGCATTTCCACACGGAGATGCCACCATTTACAAGAAGCCTGCAGCAGTCCTGTGTCTGCTAGGACACATAATAGACGCACACATACCAGTGTGACATACAAATGTCATCAGACAGAATTATGAATTCTATCTGAATTCATAATTTCATTATGAAATTTGAAAATGCGGCTAACATTTTGCAGGAAAAATAATAATAATAAAGTTTAGGGCAGAATGGCAAATACCTTTCTTAGAGATACATGATACGATAGTGCATAACACTCTTATCAAAGGCTACAGCTCCAGCAAATGCAGATCATCCTTTCCATCTGGAGAAGGGGTCTAATGAAGATGTGTACACAGACTTGATGCATTCCTTTTCCATATATTCCCCCCATCACATCTCATTTTGTTTCTTCTGTCAACAAAATCTGCTTCCAAATTAAATTAGGGTAGCATGAGCGTATGTGCCCAGTAATCAGTAAAATATTAGGTTTTTTTTTTTTTTTTTTTTTTTTTTTTTGTGGTTTGTTTGTTTTTTTTTTTTTTTTTTTAGAGAGACGGAATAAAGACATCCAAGTAGCAGGAACTACTTAGTTGTTGGGTTGTGTTTTGTTTTGTGTTTTGTTTTGTTTTGTTTTGTTTTTCTTACCAGCTTTTTCTTTCAGGCTCACAAGTTCTTTTGACTTTTATTTTGCGGTCACTGTTCAATTACACCATCTAAGAAATGAGATAAAGTATATCTAATCTTACCCAAAATTATCAGTGAAGATCCCCCAAATAAAAACTTAACAATGTAAAACTGAAAAGCAGGAAGAAGGAAGTCAGCAAAATTCTTAAAAGCAAAGCCCTTACACTTGTTAGATGTAAACTTTTGAGGAAAATGGGCACAAACATTATGTACCAAATTCTGCCTTGGACTTCTGCCATGGAGACCAGTAAACAGAAAAAAAACCCCACAACATTTTACCCATTTCACAAATTAGAGGAAGACGGATTACAAAAACAAAAACAAAAACAAAAAACAACAAAACACACACATACTCTAGGAGACACAAGCATTTTTAAACTGGATTAACACTGCTTCTTCACAATGTTGTTTGTTGGCAGTGAAATCAAGGTAGGTTGTTCTTGTGTTTTGTTTTGGTTTGTTGTTTTTTTTTTTTTCCTAATATTAATCTGTTTTCTGTTTGTTTCTCTATTATAAGTTTTGAAATTATTAACTGCAGCACATACTAATTTCATTGCTATGGTATTATTTTTGTTTGGGCTTTCCCTGAGTTGCTATTGCTGATCTAGCTATGCTTCCTGATATAGCGAGGAGGAAGAGAGCATTGCTTCCTTCTACTGTTTTTATCCAGACTTCTGACGTGTTCCGCCCTAGTTTACATGAAAAATAAATAAATAAATAGATAAAATTAAGAAGTAGTGCAGTAGATTTTACTTTTTGGTCATAGCTATACATCCCAAAAAATTCCAGCAGAGAACCCCATTTTTTACACAGCCTTTTAATTCTCACATTTTGCTGCTTCCAGTTGCATTTACAGTATATACATTCTCCGTCTAGAGGTGCTGTTTGTGGCTAGCTAAACTGCAAGCCAGGAGTACTCCTCGTTATGCATGTATATCCTGGACCTTTGGTCAGCCAGGCTGGGAAAATCACACACCAAATTTCTTCTCAGTGAAAACCAGGTCACAGAAAGAATGGAGAGAATCAGTACAATGACAAGGAATACACCAGGAATCAGAAAACACTTCAGAATGCCAAACATTAGTATATAATTATATAATTATATATGGTCTATAATTATATACAGTCTATAATCATGCATACCTCATGGTAGTGTCCCAGGAAGTAACATCCAGGTGCTTTCTTCACTCCCATTCACTTGGTTTCTACTCCCTTCAAAAAATGTGGTATCGGGATGGGTTGTGCTGCTATTGTTGTATGCTGATTGTCCTGCTGGCACAACCTTGTACACAGTTCTGCAAACCTGACTGCCACTTGAAGGTTGGTGCAGTTTTGCATATCAGCCTGTGTATCTGCTAATGCCACCCTCCTCCATTTCAGTGGTGGGCCCCACCTTCCACGACCAGTCATTGCAGACTTAAAACACTCAAACTGAGATTGCTCTCACTGTCATGGTAATTAAAAAACTGCTCAGCAATTATACAAACTTCTCCCAACCATGGCATTTTCAGAATGAGATACAGCTCCTAGTAGGCAAGTGTCACCAGAATGTGGGTACAAAGCAATGCCTTTGACTCTTATTTCTAGACAAACATCCTTACTTGTTTTGGTCTATCTGATTGCTATTTGTATTCCAAATGCACCAGAATTTACTGGTTTGTTTTTATTTCCCCTGCTGTCTTATTTCCCCTGCTGTCTTTTTTTTTTTTTTCTATACTTTATAAAGATGCAGTCCTTCTCAGGCCACAGTAACCACAGTAGCCACTGGAAGTTCAGTAGGTACCAGTAGTTGGAAACAGCCGTAAAACTAAACTTCAAAATGCAGCAGTATCAGTCTGCTGTGCTGTTTAACCTGATCAGCATCATGTCATTCACCTGTCACTTCATTTCCTTGTTTTTTTTTGTTAACTCGAATAAGATATGGTATGAATTTATCGTTATGTTCTTTGCATTTAGCCCTGTTACAATTTTTACTGGAAGGAGTGATATCTTGGAGCTTCTTAACTAAAAGTCTCTGTTATTTGCCTAAATCTTTTAACATCCTGAATATGTTGAAGCGTTTGTACTCTGATCTTCCTATTACTCTGGCTATTACTTTCTTAGCCCCCGTTAAGACTAATAAAGTCATCCTCACAAATTTTGCCACTACTTTTCCATATTTGTCCATTTTCATCTACTTCTCTTCCTTTACACTCCATTTACCTTTATTTCATGTAAGATACGTACACGTAAGGTCACAGTTGGGTTAGCAAATAAGAAAGTCATAAAACAGGAACACCCCCATGCACTGGTTACCAGAAATTTCACTGCTTCTCTTTGCCACAGACCAACCAATGCCAGTGATAATAAATCCGGTGGTTGGTTCTGAGTATTGCTTAGCGCTCACTGATACCATATATGCACTTTTTCTACATTTCCTTTTGCCCTTTAGGAAGTCTGCCAGTGGCCTGACAGTCAGCACAACCTTTTGCTGCTTGGGGAATTCCTCCCCCTCATGCTTCTGAATGTGTGGCAGCAGCATCTCCCCGCAGAAAAGTTGGGATCTGTCCTGTCCTGTACCTAAACTAATCTGTTTGATTGGGTTGGGGGCTGTGCACAGATATTTGTCAAAGACACACAGAGTTTCCTTTGATAAGCATGCCGTGTGGAATATAATGCCTGAGAGATGCTTTCTCAAAAGTAGTTCAGTGCCAAACGTTTTGAACTTCTAACAGTTTCCATATAGTGGTCCTAGATTTGTTTAAAACCAACATTTTACTTGTAGCATTCACAGGGTCTTGAATCTTTGGTTTTCTGGTGCTACTTGCACATTCTCTCAAATGCTTGCTTTTGTTTCCTCAGTATCTCCCCAGAGAGGGTCAGATGCCTCCCAAGCACTGCAGTGGTTCTTCCTTGCATTAGCTTCTTCTCTGTTGTAATTACAGTCCTGGGGTGTCCTGCCATTTTCTTAACTTACTTCTAGTTCATCACAGTTTCTGAATCTCTGCCTGCTTCTCTAGCTCTTACACACATATATATTGCATCGTCATCTCAATACTTTCCCCGCAGATCTTATTACGGAATATTTGTGTCAAAATGTCTATGTATTTTGTACACAAAACTTCTCCCCACCTCTCTGCCAAGGCGATTTGCCCTTTTTCACAGGGCCTGGGATCTTGCTAAACCCTCCCCATGGGTAGCTCTGTCCTGCTATGGCCAGACTGCTTGCAGTCTTGCTACCCTATGTTGGAGCTACCTGGCCTGCAGCTACACCATGCTGCAGCCCCATCTGACTTGTCAAGACTCACAGCCTGCAACAAAGCTACCTAGGGCATATTAACGCCTTGCTTGTCTCATTGCAAAGCTGCAGTGAAGCTGAATGATTTCTGCAGTGAATGTGCAATGAATTCTGACTGATCTGGATTCATCCTGCCAGGGCACATAACGTTAACAATAAGCTGATCCTGTTGGGTTGGGTTTGGTTTGTTTTCCTGTCAAGACAAAAGTGCCATCTTCTAGTTCCCTCCTGTATTCCTCCCCTTTTCCTATCTATAACTGACACAGCCCTCTTTCTCCTACCTGACAGATGTCGCCCATTTAAAATATGTACCCCCAAGCTTTTCCCAAAGCCCATTGGAATGTGCTCTTCTCAAGCTTCCTGGTGGATAAAAGCCATGCCAGTACAGTAGCTTCTGGACTGTGCAGACCATTCCCTGCTTGGTTGTGTGGTTTGCTTCATGTCAAAGTGTAGTATTGTGGGGGTTAAAGTCCATCATTGCATCTTTTTTCTGCCTCCATTCTGAGAGCAGAGCTGATGCCCTTTTACTTGCAAGGAGAACATGGACTACAAGGTATACCTCACTTTTCAGACACAGATTTTATTAGTTTCACTTCATTAACACAAAAATAGGAAGGAACGTAATTCCAACAAGACAAGCATTCAAAGTTCTATGATTCTATGAAAATAAAGCACAGCATTAGAAATACCATGGCTACAGCAGGCTTTGTATCACACTGATCTAATTTATACTTTAACATTAAAAAGGTGCTTTCACTTTTGTGCAGTAAAATGTACAAAAGAAAGGAAAAATAATATTTCCAATTAGGAAAGTTTACTGTGAGCATAGTTTTGGTCTTTCCTTTGTATATCTGTGGCTATTAACCTCACGGGGGAGCAGTCAGACAGGTCGTCTCCCCCAGATGCCATTTAAATCATGTCTGCTTCTGACACAAGTGTCTCTTTCCCCCTACTGTCCATCAAAGGATCTTGAAGAGATTTGCTGTCAACGTAGGCATCTGTCACATGCCTAATGTTAAGTGGTGTGGAGTCCCTTCTTCCATCCTCGTGTTGCCTGGAGGTTGGTTGAACCTGTCCTTGCAGATTTCTGTGAGCAAGGCCTTGCTTGCATGCATGAATGGTGTCCCTCGAAGCAAACTGTTCACTCACATAAGGACTGTTCACCTGCACTTCCTTACAGTTTAAAGCAACACCTTAAAGTTAGTATCATGTCCTAGAATACCACTTTCTTTTACAGGAAAGTTCCCAATAATGGCATAAATGTATGGCCATAAGACACCAGTGAGTAATGGTCTCAAGTCTTCAGTAAGGGTGCAGTCCTGATAGCGGCACCAGAGGCAATGAGTGCTCTTCTCCTGGGAAGGCAAGGAGTTGTATCTCCCCTACAGTTGGTTGCTTTTGTAGTTCCAAGGTTGCTGTCTTCCTAGAAGTGTTTCCCAGCTAGCAGACTTGCTGTGTATGTCCAGAACATATTTGTAGCATGCAGGAGACTACCCTGACATGCTTTCTGCATCTCCCACACAAAATCTGCCTCTACACATGTGATTTATATATCCAGAACTAGGGAGGCCTCCACCCCTCCACCCAGTACTCAGCTCATGGTCTCCAAAATCCTCCAGAGGGTCCTGATATTTTCATACAGAATCTTGCACAGCAAATACCAAGGTAATTTTAATTCTGTCCTTGCCAATCTTTGCTGATGTACCTTTATTGGACAAGTGCTGATTTCCTTGGAGGAATATGATATGTTTTTGGGGGGTGCGCAACATTGACTTCTTTGCAGTCAGTAAAATCGGTGTGTGCAGTTACGTGTAAAACTGCACCCACAAAAATCACAATGTTACCCATTAAACCCACTTTGGAAAATGTTGTCAACTGAACACTGATATGGTTGGCATAAAATTAAAGACCTAAAATAAAAACACTAAACCTTAGCCTATAGTAGAAAGGATTGCATTTAAAAACAACTACACTATTAACTAACAGATAAATCCATGGGTTAAATGGCTGCAGCAACATAAAGGTCAGTCAACTCTCCCATCAGAGGAGAGATGTTTTCTTGTTATATTTCATATTCATCGTTTTCGTGGAAACATCTCTTATTCATATAGGGAACATAAGGGAATGAGGAGTAAAATGAAGAAGACTGAAAGCTTCCCACTACCAGATGGCTGGCTATGTTGTGGAAAGAATACCATCACTTCCAAAAGCGATCAGGATTTTAGGTGTTTGCTTAATGGTATATACTGAACAGGCACATCAATCCTCAAAGCTTCCTCCTGAGCTTGTGTTGTTCACATAGCTGCAAATGCTTCTTGCAAAATGATTTATTACTCCTTGGTCTCTTCAACATTACATTCCCCTCAATAAACCTCATGAGCATTTGTTCATCGGACAGAACTGGGTCCAACCACCAGAATAAAACTATTCTGGGCCCTATTCAAATCTTGATGTGATCCAGCTATGGCATTAACAATTATTGGAAAAATGGTAGATTCTGTTAGTTTAAGAATATATATATAAAAAAAAAATGTAATCCACGGGATTAACCACAAGAATTGAGGGTCATGAAGTTTTTAGTAGTGCTTGACATAAAGTTCTTCAATAATGTCATGCAGTCCTGAATGAAAATATCTACTAGATAGTCTTTTGATGTATTTTTACAGTCCAGTAGAGATGTCATGTTCTGCAGTGGATGGTGTGAATGTGGAATTAACTCTTTCTAACTTTTCACGATAAACAGATGGACATTTTTTGCAGAGGTGAGCTGCAACATACTTTCGGAAAAAGTTATAAAGATATTTCCTAAACTTTTCTCCAACAAACGCATAGATCACAGGATTGATACAGCAGTGGATCATTGAAATGGTTTCTGTCACTTGGATTGCTTTCTCCAGTTTACTTTGGGTTTCACAATCTGGGTCAAAAAATGAACTTTGAAACGTATGCAAAAAAGAAGCAATATGGAATGGTGTCCAGAAGATGAAGTAAAAAATCATGATCACAAAAATAAGTCTGACAGCCTTCTGTTTTTTCTCATTCCTACATCCCAATAATGTTTTTAGAATTTGAGAGTAACTGAAAATCATAATGAACATTGGAATGACAAGTCCCAGAATGTTCATCTTTAAAATGTAGGAGTACTTCCAATTTATTGAGCTATCACTTGGAAAATGAGCACTGCATGTATACCGTGAATTTTCCTTCTGAGTTTTGTGAAACACTATCCCAGGAACAGAGGCAAGCATAGCAACAGCCCAAGTGACAATGCTGGCAAGGATGCCGTAGGTAACTGTCCTCGCTTTCAAAGCAAACACTGCGTGCACTATGGCCAGATACCTGTCTATGGTCAACAGGATTATGAAAAAGATGCCGCTGTAGAAGCCGAGGAGGTAGACACCTGAGAGAATTCTGCACAACGCTTCCCCAAAAATCCAGTCATGAACAGCATAGTAGGCCCAAAAGGGAAGAGAAAATATAAAGAGCAAATCAGAAATTGCCAGATTGAGCAGGTAGATGTCAGTCATACTCTTCAATCTCTTGTATTTTATCAGGATAAGGACAACGAGCACGTTGCCTATGAGGCCAAATATTACCACCAAAGAATAAAGCGGTGGCAGAAGATTAGCTGCAAAGTGCTTTTCCTCAGTCCCCGTGCATGGTGCTGAATCGCCATAGTCAAATTCTGTTGTTGTAGCCATGTCAAGAAAGCCTATAGTATCGTTTTCCATGGTGTGTTGGTCTGGAAAGGAAGAGAAGGGTGGTTAACTGTAGGAAACTGCAAGCTTGGCAGTGAGGGGAATGAAACACAGTGACAGGGCCTGGCCACCTCCTCATTGTGCCAGCCCATTCTGCAGCCTCACCCAAGGAAGAGGAGGCAGCAGGGAGGTGCAGGTGTACGCCCACAAGGGTGCTCTGACACTGGTAAACCCTCAGTGACCACTGCTTGTTGAGGTTACTCATGGCTTCGAGCCTTGAGGCCTCTGGGAGTGGGGTCAGTGGAGGTGTAGAAATGCCCCTTGGCAAGGGGAGCTAAACATACCCAGCTGGAGAAGCAGCAAGTCGACGGTGTTGGTCTGCAGGGTGTTGGTCAGGCCAAGGTCATGAAACAGGTCTGGTCTTCAGTAACTCTGCAATACAAATGTTGTGGAGCCCTGTGTTGTGCAGGTTATGCTGAGCACACTCAGTTGATGACCTGCCGGGAAAATCACAACAGAAAAACTGGTAGGCAACACCTTCTCGAATGGCATAACCGGTTTCAGTTGCTGTCAGTGTAGCATATAGACCAACTGCCAAAAGAAAGTAAAATATTACAGTGCTGTGAATTTTTAGTTCTCAGGATTTGATTTAAACCTCTGTTCAGACTTTTACTGAACTAATACCCCTGCTCAAATGATTTCCTGATTCCTTATTTTATTTTATTGAAGTCACAGTTCTGACGATCAATATGTGACGTGGCAACTTCACAGCAGTTGTAGCACAGTAACTGAGGAAGTGCAAGGGCTGCCCAAAATCTCTGTCCCCCTGATTTGGGCTGGGGGGCTGTGAGAGGGAGGGAGCTCCCCTGAGACGGAGGAGTCCCAGTCTAGGAGGTAAGTGGTACAACAGAGCTGTGGAAGTCCTTGGCCACTTCTGTTACAGTGCAAGCAGGTAAAGGGATGAGACTTGGATGCCACCAAACCCTTCCCTTCCTGCCACCACACCTGCCCCTCTTCCCAAATCCTTGGTAGGCCTGGGAGCCAGATGCTGAAGTGTAGGTTTGTGTAATTTTGTCTCTGAAAAGCTGAGGAGAAATGTCTTCTCATGGCTCCTGGAGAAAATAAAAGAATTTCTGCATCTCCTGTGAGGAGCTGGGAATAGGATTTTGTGAAGACAGGTGTAAGAGGGACCTAAGGTGCTTCCCAGTCACCAAGTGGGGAAATTGATGCATTTGGTAGCCACTCAAATAGACTTACTTGCCATTTGGGAAAGTACCTACACTTTTTTTTTTTTTGAGGGCTGAGGGGGGTATCATGATGACTGCTTTCATCAGGCGGTGCATTTTCATGGCAGAATGATGCCTGTTCTCTTGACAAAGCAGCAGACTGTTTCTGAAACAGAAATCTTCAGGTCCTGCCCCTGCCTGTACTTGCTGTGTCATCTCTGACCCCTTGCAAAATGCAGCAATGATCGCTCCTTTCCTGTTTGCAGCCTCGCTGTGCACTTTTTTTTAACAGCGGAGAGGTCTGCCCTGTGAGTCTGCAAATGTCTTTTGCAGAGACCACATTGTCAAAAACATCACTTCATATAACTCTCTGCACTCGAGTTCTGCAAGACTAAATGGAGCTGAAGTGCTCAGCCCGTGGTTGGAGTGGCGCTGAGGCAGGCTGCTGGTCTGTTTTTTGGTTGAAGCTCAATTTAATTACCGTAGTCATCCATTTTGAGCTGTGGCTTTTGTTATCTACTTTGGAACTTAGTTTGAGATGTAAAAACATCAGAATATAATTGTGGGGATCACAGAACTGAAGGTAATTGGTTCTCTTGTGATCTGTCTTCTTTGTTGTCCAAGTCTTACCTTCTCTGATGGGTTGACCCTGGCCAACAAGCAGCTAAACCCCAATCCAGTCACTCACTTACACCCCCCACAGTGGGACGGGGGAGAGAATCAGAAGGCCAAAAGTGAGAAAAACTTGTGAATCAAGATAAAGACTGTTTGATAGGTGAAGAAAACAAAACAAAAAAAGAGGTGATGCATTTGCCATTTCACCTCACACTAAACAAACTGATTCCCTACAAGCCTTCCAGCAATACCTGCTTTGATAAAACTCCAACACAGTTTTATTGCTGAGCACGACGTTATATGACAAAGCATATCTTTTGGTGAGTATCGGTCACCCCTCCCAGCTGTAGTCATAAATGTAAAACACAGCACTGTGTGAGCCAGGCCCAGTACAGCTACCCACTGCCAAAATGCAGCTCTTTCCCTGTACAATGTACATTCGTGCTGCCCACAAATACAGCATGTGCTGTGGTTATTTTGGTTTCTGTCTATGACCTGATGGGAAATCTCCGAGCTTTTGCACGGGAGAGAAGTCAGATCCACCTCTTCTCAACAAGCACAAAACATGAAAATGTTTTCTGAAATGCTTTCTAAAACACTCCTTACCCTTTGCACACAAGCAAAGTTAATCACCAAGAGGTCTTGAAAACTGAACTTGCTAAGAAATTATATTGGAACAAGCTGTTTGCATTTCATTTCTGATTCATTTATCTTTAACCATTTTTCCAGTTTCCATTTTCATGCAGAAAGGAATGTCTTCTCTGGAAGCTGTAGAGCCCTTGACAGTAAGTCTGGCTTTGGCTCTGAAAGGGTTTAGTCATGAGTCTTCAGAAATGGGTGTGTTAGCAAAGGGATCTCCAGTTTTATCTCTGTTCTTGTGCTGTGAGTATAAACAGTCTTTTTCTGATTCTGATTTGCGGGCTTGTGATTGTTTGGCTTATTTCTTCTGAAATTACAAATATTCAGGAAGTCTTAAGGATAAGGATTTTCATTTGCAGGGCATTCTTGCTGTCTCGATGGACTGCACGAGGCCATCACTGTCCCACCGTCCTGCTAACCCCACAGCGGACTGACTCACAGTTTCAGAATAGTTTTTTTTGTTAACAGAAATTCTAGACGTTTTCTGCCAAAGCCGGCAAACAAGTCAAATATAAGCTTGAAATCTAAGAGAAGGGGTATTTTCTTTTCAGTTCCCTCTAAAGCATCTAAATACAAGTAGTTCAATAAGAGGCCACTCTTGCTTCCCCTCAGAGGACTGGTTATGTTCTGAGTCTCCAAGAAGTCTGATACTCTGAAGTGTGACCAAGCCTTGTTCCAAGTACCTGCTCCCTGGGAAACAGATGTAAGTGAGGCAGCCACAACAATTTGTTCCAGGTCTGCCAGACAGCCTGTGGCTATTAACAGCACATTTCTGGGGCCTTATTTTATTAGGCCCACTCTCCCACTGGCTGTACACCCAATAGTATACCCTAGTGATGGCAATCCCAATATCTACTGCCAGTCTTCATAGCTCTTGTCAGAGATTCTTGCAATGAGAATGTATCTTTAAATCACATCTTTCAGATTGTTGTATTTGGGTATTTGGGCTGCTTCAAGAGAAGCCTTGCTAGCTTTTGAGTATTAGCTGTTATCTCTACGGTATCACCTTCTGCTACAGGAGTGTCTAGGAGCCAGTATGATTATCAGGCATTTCCATTCAAGCTCAGAGAGCCCCTGCCCTGCCACACTGATTCATTTGGGGATGGCAGTCATCACAGCTCGCTGAGCCTGCTGTGCCCTGAGTGGGATTTGGACAGCGTTTCCTCACCAAAGTCATAACTAATAGAGGAACACAAGCACATCAGTGGAGCTGCTCATCTCAAAGCGGAATGGCCCTCAAATTCCCTTTCCCTTTCTAGGGCCCGAGACAAGGTTTTTCTTCTCAAAATGCTACTCCTTGCTCCTCTCCTTTTCACAAATGGCAGTTTGTCACACAGAAAAAGAAATAACTTAATGACTTGTGGTCAGCTTACAGGTATGTCAGCAGTATTGAGGGCACTTTGTGAAGAGAGAGAATTGTGTCGTAGCACTGATTAAAACCGGAACCCAAATGAAGAAAAATAATATCCTACAAATAGCACAGCAGGCATTGTAAGAGAGGTGACCACTGTTTCCTGCTAGCAGCTCTATCCTTTCAGCATTGCCTTGGTCTTTCCAGAAGGAGTCTCTGGACAAGCAAAATTGCAGAGTAGTCCATGTGTGGACCAGAGATACCTTGGGAAGCAAGCATTTGTTCACACTTTTCTTGAGGTACCAAGAAAGCTGAAGGAAAATGTAGAAGTACAAACTAAATGCTATTTGTAAGACTCTGAGCTGATACTTTCCCTCGAACACATTGTGGCATGTGATAGAAACCACAGGAATCCTTTCCAGGATATCACTGGGGAAAGACAGTCCCGTCTAAAATCAAACCTCACTTTGGAAACCTCTTCCTCTAGCAGCTGAGCATTAGACACTTCTTCCCTTTGGAGCTGCTTGCCTGACACCTGATTATTTTTTCCCTTCCTGCAGAACTTTCAATCTAAAAATATGTTTTGGGCTGGAAAAACAGACTCAATTCTCTATGAATGCTCAGGATCCAATTGTTTCCATTCCCCATAAAAAACAGAAAGGCAGCCTTCTGAAAAACTCTTCTGCAGTTAGTTCTGCGGTTGCAAGACAAAAGAAGTAGGTGTTTTTATCTAAATAAATGTACAGTGAAGGAGTAGCATCAACACTCAAAATAAGCAATCTGAGAAAGAGAAACCAAGACAGATATTACATGCTTTCCAAGCAATTGCTGCTACAGCTGTATATTTAATATACCGAATGAAATATATATGTATATATATACATATATTTGTTCTTACACTATTGTAGCTTTTTTGCTGATGCCCAAGTAGCAAGTCTTGTTTATCAAAGCAGAGGTGTGAGAGGTAAAATTTCAGCAAAGTACTGATGAATTTTACCCATGTAAAACTTCATTGAAAGGTAACTGCAAGTTACTGGCTGGCCATAACACTGGTACCTGTAGCTGAGAGATAGAGTACAGACTTTCTGCTTGCTCAGAGACATCACCTTAAAAGAGGAAACAATCCCAAAGAATCCTTCATAAAGTCATAATGATAAAACACCTTTAGCATGTTAAATTCTCAGATAACACAAAGAAACTGTGAATACTGTGATAGGATAGCGATGAAGGACATCTGTCGTCTGCACCTGATAGAACAAGATGTGGCTTAGATTTCAAAAGGCTAGAATAAATGTGAAGGATTTGATGTCTGATCAGTTTATATCCCTAGAGGAATACATTTTCAAGCTACTGACCTCCCAGAACAGCTTCAAAAGCAAGACCCCAGACATTTCTAGAAACTAATTTTCTCCACCATTTGTCCAGTTCAATTCTCTTACACTTCAAAACTCTTACACTTAGCCTTATCCTGAGCTGGAAGCTGGTTACAAGACCCAATTGCTACTAAAGACAGCACCTCTAGCAGTTCTGCTCCCACTGTCATTAGACACATAGGCTTCCCCCACACAACAAATTTGAATCTGTATTTACACATTCACATATAAGAGAAAAAAAATGAGCTACTCACTGATTTATCAAGCTTGTTTTATCAGACCGTGTCGCCTTCGTCTTTGTGAACAAACATATAGTTAAACCCTATATCTGAAAATAGGAAACGGCACTTCCTGTGTGATCTGTTGCAAAACATTACAAGAATCAAGGGCACAGTTCTTCTTTCTGAAAATTATCAGTTTCCAACCCAAGTTCTGAACAGAGGGATGAAGTGGGTGTGTACTTCTTCTGCCTCTGCTGAAATTCAGTGCCTAAACTATTTATTTCTCTACAGGGTTAAGGCTAGGTGGTTAAATTCAATCATGTTCTCAGGACAGCAAGTATTTGCAGCTGCTCTAGATGATTCTGTAGCTCAGCAGAGAGTGGTACGAAATATCTGGCATACAGAATGTGTGATTTTTAAATTATATTCAGGTCTCCAAAATGACTGTTGAAACAATCCCACAAAGTTAGACTTCATTCATGTGGTCTCTTACTGACTTCTACATAATTTCTACGTGGTTCCCAGTTCTCCCTTTTGTCGTCACTGGTGAGAAAGAACCTGTAAGCAAAAAGATACATCTAAAAAATACATCTATACCATACATGCCATGTTAGACAGCATCACACCTGCCTCTTGTGAGTCTTGTGAAGGGAAACAGGTCAGGGCCTTGAGCTAGCACACACTTCCTCGAGCTATGTAGGTCAGGCAGAGCACGGTGGTGCTGGAGCTACCTTCCCTCCAGCTGTGAGACCAGCTCATGCAGTCCGCACCACACCATCCTGTGGGATGCATACCCGTCCTCAAACACGTTGTGAGGTTTGGAAAGTCATTTGTAATGACTTGTGGTTCTCGGAGGCTGTCGTGTGAGGAGGGCTGGAACCTGCAGCTCGTTCCCTTTTTGATGTGGTGGCATTGCAGCAATTGAGAAGCAATAGGAAGATTGAAAGCAATAGGGAGAAAGAGGTAAGAATTGGTAATGCTTCAAAGGCAGGACAGGAAGTATAGCTGAGTGCACAGGCTGTCATCATGGACTTGCTTTTGAAACATTTATTTTACCAATTCCATTGGCACCCCTACATTAACAATCCCCAGCTGCTGGAGTGACGGATGATGCCTGTGTAGGTGACCATTATAAACCAGGACTGATGAATATTACGTCCACTCATCTGCCCCCTGAGGGGTCCTGTTACGTTGTCATTGCAAGTTATAGCAAAACTACATGTTTGCATTTTGCAGCTATTTAGCAGCAGCTGTTGACCATTCTTCCTGCTGGGTGGCTTCCTGCAGTATTACTCAGCGTAAGGCTGGATTTTGCCAAAATTATAGCCGGATTTTGTCATTTCCTAGAAAATCTATGTGGAGTTTCAATAGAAACAGCGATAGATAACCTGATCACTAACACTGCAGGGAGTATAAAAGAGGTTCACAGAGCCGTGAGCTGTCGCAGAAGGTGTGCCTAAGCGAGACGTTAGGAAGAGGGGTCTCTGTGGTGGCTGAAAGAGCATCAACTTTTCCTTTTGATCTGGAGGGGAGTGTGCAGATTTTGCTGTAAATGCAGACTGCAAACCACTGAAAATCTTAAAGCCTGGGCAGAAGGGGCCTTCCCTACAGGAACACAGTGTGTAATAGCGAGACTCAACCCACATTTTCTCTCCATCCCACCTCCATCTGAGCTGCAGTCTGAATTTGAAATCATGTTTTCTTTTACCATTTCCTACTCAAGATATAGGCTGATAACTCAGCAGTTTTATTTGTAAATTTAAACTTTTGTGGGCTACTGTCTTGGGTAAAGAAATGCTTAGCTTGCAGTTTCAAAAATCCTTGTCTAGGACACTTCACTTTTACTGCCCTATGAGAAAGAGGGGTGGTCACCAAGAGAAAGGGTTTGTCTCAGTTCCTGAGTGAAGCCAGGGGCTGTGGGTGGGTATAAATGTCTAGGGGTACCAGAGGGAATGCTTGCTTTCTCCTGCCCTCTTGTCTTGTGACACTGACACTTCCCTTTGTGTTTTTCAGAGGCTTTCTGGAGTCTGCTTTTTGTTTGCTCTATCAGTTTGCCCAAACAAAAAAAACAGCTACTGCTGAAAATAGCAGAACCAACATGTAAGTGATGGCAGAAGTTTGGGAAACTTAGCAAATGCAGCACTTTGGACTAGAATACCTCCCATGCACGAGAAGGAAAAAGACCTAGTTGTGTGGACAGCACCCTATGCAGACAGTGCTTTCTAAACATGTGTGGACAAAGGAATTGTATACAAACCTGCAAGAATTCATATATTGACAGAATTGCTAAAATCTGAAGTCTCTCAGGAATGGATAAATTCCTGTTTCCGTTTTCTCTCTTGCTGAGACCAGTCTAGGAAAAATCCCAGAAGAAGTCATTGTTGGAGTTAGATGCTAGCTTCACAGTCTGTGAGGTAAGCAGGGGTTTGAGCGTGGCATAGTGGGTTCAATGGATTCTTGGGATGGAGAATGCTGAACTCATGACTTAGCATTTGGGAAAGAAAGCACAATTTTGTACACGTTGCTTTGAAAGAGTTCTAATTTTTCATCCCTCCAGTCTTGAGTGCTCAGGTGGAAAACAAGTAGACAGTGTTTTCAAGCTGTCTGAGCTCCCATTGCTCTGACCTTTGAAAATCAGGCACAGTTTGTTTCCAAAACACTTGTGAAAATAATTTGATATGCTTCCGAAAGATTGATGGAGATGAAAATAAAGGAAAGAAGAAAGATTCAAAAGAGGAGAAGCATGTCATATTGAACACTTAATTTTAAGCACCTGGAACCACTTTTTAAATTGTATTTAGCTAAATTATTATTTTTTTTTTTTATTGTAGAAGATAGGGCTTGTTAGAAAGGATAGGACAACCTGAAAATCCCTTTTCCAGGGATTCTGAAGAGATCCAGGAAAAGGAGTGAAATATTCATCGGTCTAGAAAGCATGCCCTGTGAGAAATCATTGGGAAAGGTCTAGATAATCTTTGGAGAGCTCTCAGACTTCTATTCTACAATTTTATTCTTAGCATGTTTCCTGTAAGGGACTAGTGAACTTTGTGAACCTTAACCAATTCAAAGAACTTCCTAGGAAGTGGAAGCAAAGAAAGCAGTTAGATAAAAACCTCCCAAACTGGGAGACATTGCTAGCTGCAGGGTGCTTGCCCTGTAAAAGTAGAGAGATGCTTGGGTTCTGCATCTGTTAAATTAGGCAGGTTAAGAAGGGAAGAAAAGAGTACATGAACTTTACTATGCTGATCAATTGAAATTCTATAAAAAGGGAAGCACTGCTGAAGAGAAGAGTCAAAAAAAAAAGAAAAAAGAAAAATTGCTGCAGCAAAACTGTCTGCGTCTTACTCAGCTGGGACTTTCTGGAAGCTGCCATAACACCACTACTGGCAAACCTGAAACAAGTGAAGTAGATGTTTTGTTCTGTAGAAAAATTTTGCTGACTCTCCTCATGCTTTCAGGGATGGGCATGTGGCAGCTTTGGTTGAGCATGAGGAGGGGCACACAGGAAGAATTTGCAAGGTCTATTATAGGTGATTGTTTCAGCATTTCTGTGTAATATTTGTTAGCATTAGGTAGATAATGAAAACCCTATACTGCTCTTGCTGTGTACAGTGCTGCTCTGTAAACATTTGCTGCATTATAAACATTTGCAGATGCCCATGTACAATTATACTATGGCATTTTCTCTTGAGATGTCCAACAGGTAAAAACATCAAAGCAGGCACAGCTTATAACCATACTTGGAGAGTCCTAATGTTGGTCCTTGCCTTGACTCAACTGAAAAGCTTCCATTTTATGTAACTCTTTTCTGCTTTCAGGTAAGTGCTATAAACAGCGATCTACTTCCTGGAAGGGAAAACAGAGATAGCCAGCTCCCCTGGTTCTCTGCCTGGTTCTGCTTTCATTTCTTTCATTTCAGAGTCCTTCAAGCTACGTGTTGCAGGCTGTAGGAGTTGGCTTTCGCACCCATAGCTGGTAGCCAGCTGGCCAGTCTATGGGCTCCCTCTATAGTCAATAGATAGAGGTAGGTATTTGCAGAGGGTAACTGCCTCTGTCCTAAGCTATGCCACCTTAGGCTATAATGGATCACCATACGGAGGCATCTCTCTTTAGCGACAGAAAGAGCCTAGGCAATGAGTTCAGACTAGACAGCCAGCTTTTACATTGATAAAACTGGATTAGACAGTCCAAACAAACGTTTCGGATACCTTGAATGAAATCTCTGGGGCTTTTGGTGACAATAAATTACTTTTTATTTTGGAAAAAAATATCAAAGCAAATATTTTAGATTTTTGTGCTTTGGGGCTGAGCTTGTTTTTTTATCAGGTAAGCCTGATGATGCTGTCTACATCCTCTGCTAAAGAAGAAGAGACCTGTGCTACGGAGGTAAAGATCAGTTCTGCTGATGAACCACAACAGATGCAGGAACAGATTTAGAGTCACTACGAAAACTGCACCCTGCTTACGCCTCTGAACACGGTACATGTTCCACATCATGTTACAGAAGTGATGCTGCAAAGGCCATCCTCCTCTTCCACTATGTCCTCATAGCCATGCACACTGTTCTGAAGAGACATCATGTTTTAGAAGAGTTGGGAAGATCCATAAAAGCAAAACACTGGTTGCTATTGATGGCATGTGAAAGTTGCACTGTCAGCCACTCAGGAGTCTCAGTACTGCCACACAGCTTTGGGGCGTTTCATAAAGCCCAGGGGAAGACTTGACAACTGAGATATAAGTTAACCATGAGATCAACATATTTTTAAGATATTCTGAGTTGCAGAGAACAGGAAGAACTTTACTAGGAAATATCTACACAATTTGCCCTTCATGTGAACCTCTTGGGTACACACATCAAAAAGCCTTGGTCAGTCTGCAGGAGCCATCATCCAGCAGAGGGACTCTTACTTCACAGGTGTGCAGGACCAGGATTTATTTAATGTATGCCATCCAGATACTTCTCAGATTGCAATTTCTTCTTTTTTTTTTCCTCTCATAATCATGTCTGTAGTTTGATTAGCGTAAAACGTGATTTCTTCACAGATACTACGGTGTTGTTCTCACTGCATTTATGAGATGAATCTATATAGTTATAACCACTATGCAACAAGGAAGCTGAAGTGCCAAGATTATTAATAACAGCATCAAGCATACGCTTGTTCTAGGAACCTGGTTTATGAATTATTTTCCTCCAAAGCAATGCATGATGGTGGAGAACAATTCCCATGTGTTGTAGCTGCACCCTTGTACTTCTGGTTCTTGGTCTTCACCTTGGGCCCTGGAACATGACTGAACAAAACCTCAGAGGCCACCTATGAAAAGCTAAGTTTACATGTAAAGGAAAGGTGCTTAATTTACTTGGTAAGCAGTAGACATCAAGGATAGATTGGATAAATTCAGGTCTGTGTACCTACATCCCTTGGTGGATTTTGTGCCGGCCTTATGACATGCTTGCAGATTCCAGTAGTATTTCTAGCACTAGACTAGGCATCTCTGAAATGTGAGTCTTACAGGATTTTCCTTCATGGCTATCTGCAGGGCTCCTCAATGAAACTGACTCCTAAAGACACAACCAGCCCCAAATACTTTTCAGTCTGCTCAGAGACTGGCCCTACACTCCTGTGCAGCTATCTGGTAGAGTCTCCTTACCTTCTATGAATACCACCCATAGAGAGGGAGTTCAGCAGTCTGAAGCCAACCTGCTAGCCATGTTACAGCAATTTAAGGACATACTCAATCTGTCCCTAATCAGCTCCCAAGAGCTTTTACTCACAGGACAGAGATACCATTTCCTTTGTAGCTTCTGTAGATAACAGAAAAACACTGGACTTAGGTAAGTCAGCAAAATGTCCTTTGATACAGTCCATGGCAAACTAACCACACCACAGAATCTGTGATACCGCAGACTGTGCGGTTCTCTATCCCCACCAACTGGGGATCGCTGTGGTGTCTTCGGTACTACAGTGTGGTAAATTTTATTGTATTCTCTGTCTCTCTTTTTGTAATGTAGTACTAATTGCTGTCTCATAACAGGAAAGGAATAGCTAGTTTACATCTTGGTCCACAAATGAGAAATCTTACACCTGCACTGTTAGCTGCAGACAAGCTCTCTGTGCCACTGTGCAAAACAATGTCATTGTTAGCAAGTGTGATGTGAAGCCACATCCCTCTCTATTTGTCGTGCTCTCAGGTCACATTGCAGTAATTGTTTTATGCAGGTATATTTAGTGCCTGCAAACCAGTTTGCTGTCCTTCTTGGAAGAGATTAAATGTTAAGATGAAAGCAAGTGATAAAAAGTGATAAAAAGTGATAAAAGTGATAAAAATAACTTCAACTGAAAAGCCAGCTCATCAAGAGAATTCAATGGAAAGGTGTTTTTTATGCCTAGGCTGTACTAAAATATGTTAGGATAAAGTCTTAAGTAAAGCTTTAAGTGGATCTCAGCTAAAAAGTTTCTTTGCATTGCCTGACGTGCAGTTGGATTCACCTGGAATCTCAAAACCAAACAATCCCCCAAATGTTTCTTTGGGGAATTAACATCTTACAGGGATGCTCCATTTTATAAGACTTAAAGTCTCAACGCATTTTCAATCCTACTAGCACTTGTCCTCAAATACTGGTGAAGTTTACTGTCTGCTACAGTTTTTCACACTGATGAGGGACCATTTCTTATCTCCTTCTTCCTGTGTTAAATGCATTAAATATTCAATACCCACAGAGTGCTCACCACTGACACTTCCAGCTACCATCCAGTGCTCTCCCCTCACCCAGTTCACTGAAGAGACGGTCGGGTAGGTCTGGGCCCCGCAAACCTCTGTTCATTCACTGAAACAGGGAAGTCAGTCCTGAAATGTGTCTTAACATTGTCTGAGAAAAAAGCCTAGAAAAATCAGTGCCTGAGGCACTGGACATCGGCTGCAACCAGGAAAAGCTGTTGTATGAGTGCTGTAACAAGTGAAAGCAGTTTATCACCTAGCTTGAGAAACAGTGTGAAGGAGAAGAGGATGCCTTACAAGAAGGGAAGACGTACTGACAAGCATTGGAGCCCCACTGTGTGGGTGAGAGAGGACACCTGACTGTCTCCTCCAGCTCGAAAGAAGGAAAGGACCTAGTGGCAGAGAGAGAGAGAAGACAAGAAGCTGGGCCTGGAAGTTATTTAAGGGTCACCAGAGTTTGAGAAGGCCTCTGAGATTTTCATGTTCCCAACTGAAAGTTGAAGGCAGGCAAGCTTAAGAATTTGGTGGTGTTATGAGTTCATGTCAGCAGAAAATTGTAAACCACAGAAAGTTTTGTATCTCATCTCTGGGTTAATTTATTAATGCATTTGGGGTTTGCATTGATACAATAACCACAAAACGTATTTGGGTTATAATGTGTTTCTAATTAAAAGAGCAACACCCATACCAGAAAGAAGACTCGGGTGTCAGGTAGCCAAAATTCTCATCTAAGAACTACAAGAGGTTACACTGCATGGCCGCAAATACACAATTTCATTGATTTAGGTGGTCCATCTCTTCTTTTTTACATGTTTATCATAAATTAGAGGAGAAAGACATTAGTAGGGTTAATCTGGATGTTTCTAAAACTGACAACCGACCCTGAAAAATGTTATACAAATCCTCAAAAGTATCAAGTCCATCACTAAATTCAGTGGTGGATCTCAAAGTTGTGACAGAACCTGGCTTTAAACCGATTATCATATACAGACCTGTGAAATCCCAGGCCTTCAGGGGGAGGTGCACTCACTCAGACTTGTTTTGGATTTCCCCAGGGTGGTGCCATATCTCTTAAATTTGCAATGCTGCAACCAAGTCTGTCTACTGAGATGACAGATGCTGATAGTTGGGCTGGTCCTTGGGGCAAGTGTAATGTTCAATCTTTTGTTAAGGGGGAAAAGGAAACAAACAAACAAGAATACTTCTGGGCAGAAACATCTTAATGATAATAGTAATAATAGTAGTAGTGTTGAAATTGTTATATACACACTTTGCAGTTTCTACCCCTTTCACAAGTGTAGTGCTTACTCTTCCACTGCTCTTCTGAGCCCTAGGGTCAGTGGCTTCACCCTGTTGGTCCCTTGTAAAAGGATCCCTCTACACCTTGTCTTGTGTCCCCAATTCTCAGGGCCTCTGCTATCATACCATGACTGTGTACAGCATCATGTTAGAGCCATAAATATCTCTTTCTACAAGAGATAACTACTTGTTACTGCCATCTGTATAAAAACTGTGGTTGTGCTCCACATTGGTAAGCAGAACTAAGACAAATTAAATATAGCCACCTGCTCAGCTGTTGTAGCTAAACCAAGCAAAAATAAAGTTTTGGGCAGGTTAAGATGGGTTCAGGCAAAGAAAGCCTGTCCAGTATCAGTCCTGCAGCCTTGCACACTCAGCACACAGCCCGTGGCTGGTACTAGCAGCAGCAACACCATATCACTGGGTGGGCTCTGGGGCTACAGAAGATGCACAGAGAGCAGTGTCTCCATTTACAGGGTTATAAAAGTCTCTCCCTTGTCAGTGTAATGAGGCAAAACTTGGTGAATATTTCCTAAGGCAAAGATAGGAAGATATTTTAATATATTTCAATACATTGCTTATGTTTTTGAGCTGGAGACAGGCTAGAGGAACTCAGCAATGTCTCTGCTTCTTCCCCTTTCACTTGCCAGCCTTCTGTATGGGGCAGCTTTGCTCAGCTCCAGCTCTGGACAGCCAGCAGCGTGCAGGGAGACAAGGAGAAGCGGAGGGTCTGCTCTGGGGAAAGGGCTGGGGACAAAGGCACAGGTTTATCCTCTGGCCTGCTTAACAGCAGAAGAGAAATGAAGATGCTAGAGGCTTCTGAAAAGGAGGAAGCACTCCTTGGCAGACGGAAGGCTGTGCTAAGGGAAGTGCCCCTGAGGAATAAAAAAGAGGGAAGGAAACTCAAGGCTGAAGAGTGTATTATACATGTAGTAGGCTGAAACCTGCGAGTAGGAGTGTTGCTAAAACAGCTCCTGGAATTAAGAGCAGTGCTAACTCATAACTTCATGTTTTCACCTCCTGTGGAGAGATGAGTGGGTTGGTCTTTCACCTCGCTGTGTTATCTCTTACCTTACAGATTATCTGCTGACACCAGGATTTTTTTAGCACTCTAAATGATGAGTGCAGAAACAGAGAATGTGGAACAAGTGAGTGGGATATTGAAGCTGGCTGACAGTGCAGCACCCAGACTGGTGGAGAAGCGTGTCCAAAGAGGTGAGAGGGAAGTAGAGGCAGGAGCTAACACATTGTTTGCAAGCCAAGGGGAGCCTGGAAATAACATAGCTCAGGAGGTACAAGGCCAGGCCTAGAAATGAGCTTGCAGGTGCTAGCTCGTATCCAAGTCATCATTTTACTCAACAGTAAGGAAGGCAGTGAGCCCAAAGATTGCCCTTTGGGCTGGATGTTGTTCCTTTTATCAGCTTAAGAAAGCTGGAGGAAGGATCTTTTTACCCCTCAAAATGCAAACACTCAGGTTGTCCCTGCTGTCACAGTCCAGGAATGTCCTTGTCCCTGAAGCAGGAGGAGAACCTGAATGACTCTCCAAAAGCTGGTCCTAGGTATGTTTTGGTGCATAGGCTGTAATAAGTGGAGAAGTCTGTTTATATTGCATGGTTGTGGGGACATCTGAGCTAGGTCCAGGACCAGCAGGACCAGCAGGTGTATAAACTTGCCCCAGCGAATTAGGCTCAATTTTGTCTCTGCGGCAATTTCTGTGTGTGTGCACCAGCTCTGGCTGGGGTGGAGTTAACAGCCCCACAGCGCTGTGCTCTGCACGTGCAGCCAGAGCAGCCCCAGTGTTGCGGTATGGCACCGTGTGGTGGTTTTACTCGGATGGGCAGCCAAGCTCCACCTCAGCTGCTCTCTCACTCGCCCTCCTCAAAGGGAAAGGGGGAGAAAATACGATGGAAAGGGCTCAAAGGTTGAGATAAGGACAGGGAGATCGCTCAGCAATTATCATGATGGGCAAAACAGCCTCAGTGTAGGGAGATAAACATAATTTATTACCTATCACTAGTGGGCTAGCAAAGCGAGAAACTAAAAGCAAACAAAACCCACTTTCCCCCCATACACCCTCTTCCACCTCCTCCCCCTGAGCGGCACAGGGGAATGGGGACTGTGGACTGTGGTCAGCCCCTAACACTTCGTCTCTGCCACTCCTTCACGGTCCCTCTCTGCCCCTGCTCCCCATGGGGTCCCTCCCATGGGATGCCGTCCTTCCCGAACTGATCCCACGGGGGCTGCCCACAGGCAGCAGCCCTTCAAGCACTGCTCCCACATGGCTCCGTCCCACGGGGTCCATCCATCCATCCCCCAGGAGCAAACTGCTCCAGCACGGGTCCCCCATGGGCAACAGCTCCCCCCAGACCCCTGCTCCTGCGTGGGCTCCTCTCCACGGGCTGCAGCTCCGGCCCGGGGCCTGCTCCTGCGGGGGCTCTCCATGGGCTGCAGCCTCCTCCAGGCCACATCCACCTGCTCCACCGGGGGCTCCTCCACCCATGGGGGGGCTGCAGCGTGGAGATCTGCTCCATGTGGGACCCATGGGCTGCAGGGGGACAGCCTGCTCCACCAGGGGCCTCTCCCTGCACAGCCCGCAGGGGAACTGCTGCCGCCTGCCTGGAGCACCTCCTGTCCTCCTGCTGCTCTGACCTCTTGCACTGTAATGAGAGGGGGCCTCTTATTACAAAGACGTCCGTCCTCCCAAACAACCACTACGTGTTGAGGCCCTGCTTCCCAGGATAAGGCCAAACATCACTCATTGATGCAAAGTAGAGAATTATTGCTTTCTCTCTCTTTGCTTCTCTGAGGCTTTTGCTTGCTTGTTTGGTTTTCCCCCTCCTTGTTTTTTAATTATATTATCCTTATGTCAGCCAGTGAGCCTTTTTCCTTTTTTTTTTTTTTTTTTTTTTTTTTTTTTTTTTTTCTTTTTTTTTTCTTGCCAACATACTTTCTTTTCTCTCTCTCCCTTTGAGGAGGGGAGTGAAAGAGCGGTTGTGGTGGAGTTCAGCTGCCCAGCTGGGTGAAACCACCACAGTGTGCCTCTATATTTGCTGTGTTGGCACATGTCTTGCTTTGAAATTTCTCTCTCCAAGCAAGGCCCTGAACTGCACATTTTAGAAATTGTGCTGTGGTTTAAAAGAAAAAAAAAAAAAAAAAAGGTGATTTCTAGCACCTAAAGCACATTGTCTTCTAGGTCCAACAGCATGTGTGACTTGCGAGAGCACTTCATTATTGTCAAGTAATCTGCAACACCTTTTGAATTTCACTCACCTTTTGCCAAAGAGCCTAACCTGTCAAGAGTGCGTGTTCCCAGGGCTGGGAAGCTGCCTGGGGCTGCCAGGGACAGGGGTCTGTCTGGAGACCACTGCCCTCAGCATCTAGTTGGAAGCAAAGTACCACTGGTGGGAGTGTGAATAAACTCTTCAGCTCTTTGGAGGCAATTACTCACCATTTCCCAAACTCACTGAGATTAGCTTAAGTAGTTTAGTATTATGAAACAAACTTTAATGTCATTTTCTTCCTTTCTTTCTTAGTTATATCATCCCAAAGTACTGCATGATTTCTGATGTCACTTCGGCAGGTGGTTTCTGTGGGTTGTTTCCCACTTTTCAGGCCTGGAGAAAAGCCAGCAGGAATCACCACCAGCACCACTCTTGCAGGACGTTCCTTGCTTCTCTCTCTCCCAGTTCTCCATTGCACTGCTTTGCACAGTTCTGTTGGTATTTTAGTTATTTTAAAAGTCTGGGAGATGTTTGGATATTTTGTTGTGTGCTACCAAATGGTCGTGGGTTAGAATAAGATCAGACTTTCCTGGCGCTGTGTCAAAGGTATCATAACTACAAAAGGGCAGAGAACATGAAACAGGAAAGTGGAGGGTTGTGAAACGTTAGATGAAAATCAAGATCTAGAAAGTTCAAACAGATTCAGACACATTTTAGAACTAGCTAGGGAAATGATATCAAACATGAAAAGTGGTGTTTAGCACTAGCTGATTATTTGGCATCACTCTCAGGTGTGATAGCTTGGTTCTAGAGGGTGGAGGGGGGAAGGTGGTTTTAGTGTGCTTTCGCAGTTTCGCAGTTTCTAGCTTTGCTAGTCCACTAGTGATAGGTAATGAATTATATTAATCTCCCTACACTGAGGCTGTTTTACCCAAGACAATAATTGCTGGGTGATCTCCTTGTCCTTATCTCAACCCTCAAGCCCTTTCCATCGTATTTTCTCTTCCTTTCTCTCTGAGGAGGGGGAGAGAGCGAGCGGTTGTGGTGGAGCTCAGCTGCCCAGCTGAGTAAAACCACCACAGAACAGCAATAATCTCTTTATTCCATCTCTTCATGATAATGATCAACTTTCCACCAACTTAATTAACAAGACTGGGCAAGGTATTTTGACATATATATCCACATTTCCACATGCAGCACCAGGAAATCCAAGTGACATCAAAGCTGAGTGTTTCTTGGTGCTTTCACAGTGGTGATTGCAGCTGATGACATCTCAGTACGTGAAAATGTGCTGATTCCAGCAATCTGGTTATGAGTAGATTGCAAAATTCTTATTTTTTCCTCATCATTACTCTTTATGTCACAACCACAGAAACTGAGGAAATGGTACATCTACTACCTGCTTTATTATTTTTTTTCCAAGGGAATATTATGACTGTGAAAAAAGGGCAGATTGCTGTTGACAAGTTTCTACATAAAACAGAATGTGTAACAGAGGAAATGGCAGTACCAGTTCCTTGATGGTATAGTAGTAGTGTAGTGCTTCACCTTGGTTTTGATCTGATGGTGCTGTTACCCACTACAGCTTCAGTGCATAGAAGAGCAAAAACTTTTGAGTATTTCTTAGCATCTCCCTGGATTCCTTCCTGGCTGATTGCATGTAAGATCAACATAAAATCCAGTGGATTTACAACATCAGAAATAAAATTTCACATTTAGAGAAGAGGCACAATGCTTCTTGGAGTATTTAATGTGATGTCTCTCCATTCTTGTAGTTCACACGGTAAAAGGAGCGTACCAGCTCCTTTTCTGCAGCCATGTTAGACAAAGAATGAGCCTTCTGAAGGGAAAAGCAACCCTTGCGATCTGCGATAATAATCCAAGGGAGATCAACCGTAATGAAGCATGCTTGAGGATTGGGTGGGGATTTGTACCTACCCTTTTGGGTTCTTAAATATCAGTGTTTCAAATAGAGCAGAAGTGAGCTCTACAGTAAGTCCAGCAAAAACTTTTTAACTTCTCTGTTTAAGGCTTCACATATCATTTGGGGTAGATTCTGATATTACTCTTCCTTTCCAATGATTTCAGAGCCTGGACCAAAAAAAGAAACAAAGAATTTGGCCCTTTTGGCCCTTGTGATTGTCTTGTAACCTAGAGAGAATCCTAGTCTACTGCAGAAAACATTGCTGCATTATTGATGCACGTGCCTTTGGCACATTTTAATTTCACACTTAAAGATCACAGAATTTCATGGTGATGATGGACAGAAATGTGCATGTCTGGGGCATACCTGGTCTGTATCACTTTGAATGACATAGCAACATAAAAGGTGCATGGTCTTTGAAAAATTACTGTGAATTTCTGTAATTTAAAAAAATTGTCATGTCTTTCTATGATTTCAAGTTCAGCAAGGCAATTAAACACTTACTGGAAACTAAGACTTTGGAGACCTTATTTCTTACTCCTTATCAGTTTCTTCTGAATAACCCGATTGCAGATATCATCCAGATCTGTGTTTTAAAATCAGAGAGTCATTGAATACTAACTTTAGCTAAAAGCAGTCTTTGCTTTGTTTTGGCCTTTTTTTTTCAACAGCTACTGATAAAACTAACTTGATCTGTGGTGAATCATTTCCTGTTTCACCCCTGCCCAATTTTGGTCAGACTACTACATTAAGTTTTGCGTTAAATTATCTTTTCCCTGAAATCTAGAAACCTAAAAAGTCAAGGTCACTCCCCACATGTACTTTCTACACTTGAAGGCAACTTGTTGGTGCTGTAAGTCATATGCAGGATTGATGGGACTGGGGTCTCTTATTTGATCAATGACTTTTCCCTGCAGCCAGGAAGCCTGCCTCCTGACTGCCAATTGTGCCATTTAAGCTGCATGGGAAAGTGTCATTATTTGAGTGCTGCTCAGAAAAAAAAATTCCTTCTTCACCTTTTATCAAAATACAAAATAACAAAAGAATGTTATGTAAGAAAAAAAATATATATACATATATATATATATATAAAACCTTTTATTTCTTCCATTTTGTCTAAAACATCTATGGGTAAGATAGCAAATGTCACTGAGCATTTTAAACAGAAATACTTTCACCCAAACTGCAAAATTCTAGCCACAGGGGAAAGGCATCTGACCTGCTGCTAGCCCACGTATCTTTTCAATCATCAAAGTGCCATCACAGTACAAAGAAACCCAAAGAATTACATCGACAGAGGGCTTTGTTTCTAAATACCTAGAAGTCTTCTGAGAAGTAAAAATATGATAATTAAGCTGTAGTGCTTTCCTTACCCATTGAGGAATAAAATCTAGAAAAGTTAATTGTACTATCTAACGTAAATGAAAGGAGTATTTTCTACACTTAGTAACTAATGGCAAAAATCTTCTGACACTCAAGTTAGATATGCATTTTAAATTCTCAGGAAACATAAAAAAATGAATTCTATTTTCAGAAGGAAAGCTACAATTGAATAAACAGAATATATATTTTAGTAGCTTAGAAAATTCGGTCTTTAACAATACCCAGGCTGTGTTTTTCCCACAGTTTCAGATGCCTTCTTGGTTAACTTTAACATTTTTATTTACAGAAAAATGACCTCAACATAAATGCTGTTTTTTCCACAGTGAACTTTTATTGGGATTTTGAGAGCAAATCTTCCTTAGCAGAGAGCTGGAGACATCACTTCTTTTGCTGAAAAGACGCAGGACACCTCTGAATTCCATTAGATGTATTTTACAGGATACCGGTTCAAAAAAAAAACAACAGTAAAAGTATCCTTTCATTAGCTTCATCTAAGCTTGGGAGTCATTAGAAAACCTTTCAGGAGCTGAGAAATACAAAAATGCAATTAATACCTGTATTCAAAGGAAACATTTCTAAAATGGCAGAAAAAAATGTATGGGGGGAAAAAAGAGCGATAGAGCCTATGTGCTATGTTCCATTTTGTGATATTTACACTGAACAGCAAATGCTGGGGCACAGGGTTGGAGGGCCCACGCCTCCAGAGGGGACACAGATGGTGAGGCTGCTTCGATGGACCTTACACAAGTGTTTGTGCTTCTCTGTGTGGCAGATACAGGGGGCACCTGGAGGTGCTGCTCTGCTGTTCTTGAAGACGTGGCCACCAAGGGCTGCTATGGGTGGCAGCAGATGCCCCAGCGTCCCTCAGCAACCTGATGGACCCCCACACAAGAAGACCTCTCCATCTGGGAGTGGAGGCAAAGGGGGGACCATCGCCAGCCCCTCTTTGCAATGTGAATCCATCCCATACCTGTCCCCTTCTCCAAGGGATTTGGGACTCAGGGCCAGTTGGGACTGCCCCAGGGACTCAGGGCTTCATGCAGGGAGCAGCTTCTGCAAAGCAGAGCATAGCTGGGAGTGAGGCAGGAGCAATGCTTTCAACAAGGGAGAAAACAAGTAGGAGAGGAAGCATCCTGTTTGCTGAAATGTATTAAAAGTGATCTAATTAAAGATCACCACGTGACAAGCGTGTAGGATCACCATTTTACAAACACACTGGTGCTCTTTGAAAGCTCACATTGCTGCTTATTGTGCCGTATCGGGCAGCACATCCCAAAAGGCAGCACAGGCACATGGGTCACCCTGCGGGGACACTGCACACGTGGTGCAGCCCCAGGGGCTGTGCGGTGCTTGGGGGAAAGGGATCTCGGGTGGGCTCAGATCATCACTGCGCTGTCGGAGCAGGCAGAGAGCTGGCTGGGCACTGAAGATGACTGAGTGGCCCCAGGACCCCTGGCAGGGCTCCAGAAGACACGGACACAGGACTGAAGCAGTCCTTTCAGGTGGGCTTTGAACATCACCCCAGCAAAGGCGTAGATCACGGGGTTGAGGCAGCAGTGGATGAAGGAAATGGTTTCCGTCAGCTGCAGGGCCAGGGCGATCCGGTTGCTGGCCTGGCAGTCATTGATGATGTGCAGGCTCTGCAGGGTGTCCAGGAACAGCACAACATTGAAGGGGGTCCAGAAGAGGAAGAAAACAATGACGATGATGAAAATCATCTTGATTGCCTTGATCTTGTTCCGATTTTTGCACTTTTGCAGGTTTTTCAGTATCTGGGCGTAGCAGCAAATGAGGATGCTGAGGGGAATCAAGAGGCCCAAGATATTGGCTGCAAACTGAGATGCAACCTTCCAGGTGTTGCTGCCAGGGGGGTACGTGGGGACACACTGCATAGACTGCTCGATTTCCAGCTGCTGGTTGAACACGATGTTGGGCACAGAAGCCAAGCCAGCCACCAGCCACAGGACTAAACTGATAATTATGCCACAGGAGGTCGTCCGAATCTTCATGGCATAGACGGCATGGACAATTGCTATGTACCTGTCTATGCTCATGAGGGTTATAAAGAAAATACTGCTGTAAAAACCTGTGTAATAAATGCCAGCCATTATCTTGCACATAGCGTTGCCAAAAACCCACTGCTCTGCAGCGTAGTGGGCTTGGAAAGGGAGAGGCACAACGAAGAGGAGATCAGAGGCTGCGAGGTTCAGCAGGCAGACATCAGTCATCGTCATCAGCTTCTTCCTGGTCAGGAGAACCCAAAGCACCAAGGAGTTTCCCAGAAGGCAGAAGACAAACACGAGGCAGTAAAGGATGGGCAGGAGGAGGGACTTAAACCTGTGAAAGCTGTTTCCTTCATTGCATGGAGCAGTGTTTTCATCGTATCCATAGGCGTACTCTGTTGTTTCGACAAAATGGCTTGTGGGATTCATCTCGGACTCCTGTGCAGGAGAGAGCAAGAGATAAAGGGTCATTACAGGGATCTCCCTGGTGGCTTCTTCAGTTTGTCATTCCTGCCTCTTTCGGCCAACTTCAGTTCTTGAGTTTAAAAAACACCAAAATAATTTGTGAGGGTGAAAGGGTGGGAGGGTGAAAGGGTGTTCCTTGCTTTGTCATTTCTGAAGAATTGCAATGAATACAGCTTTAAATTCATCTTACGTGCTCTCCAAAAGTGAGTCAGTGCTTTACCCACCGTTTGTGTTTTTGTTTCAGATGCCAACTCCTGACCACCATAAAAAGGATCTGGTTGGTAGAGTAAAGCATTCACATTTTAAGAAGTACAGTTCTTTCAAAAGGCACTGTTTCAGATGAGTTTGGCTTGTCACTGCTAGGACATTTGCATGTGTATTGTGCATTTCACCTACGCTGTGCTGGCATGCAGGTAGATCGTACTTCAAAAGAGCTTCAAACAGACTGATGTGGAGAAATATCACATGGAGTAATCAACTTTGTTACAGCAGCAATAATACCAATTAGAGTGATTAATTCATTAAATGCAGCATACGTGCTGCAGGGAAACAGGAGCATCTGCACGTGTGGCACAGCGAGGGATGCAGTTGGTACTTGTGCTCTGCTCCTGGTGCGGATGCTGCTGGTGCCTCAATGACCTGCCTCAGCTTTTTGGGGGCACCAGGCGTGCTTCAACCAAGGTCAATCAGCACATGAATTGTTACAAAATACAGCACCCAGCCCTGCAGAGCTCCTTGCTCAGGAATAATGAGAAAGCACAGAAAGGCAGGGCTGCAATCTACCTAGACAGTGTAATTCTTTCCTATATTCAGCTTTCAGGTAGATCATCTGTATTATTAATTTCAGCTTGGATTTCACACATAAATGTTGAGATTTTGAGTCACCAGATAATGGCTGTTTATGCCATTCATCAGAAATATTTATTGTTAATGCTATTCATCCCTGTTCTTGGGCAACCCTGACATGCTGTGACTGTGACCACCACAGCAATGGTTATGCTTCTTAGGTGCCTGTCAGGGACCCAGTAAGAGCAGTCCAAAGGTTCAACAAGCAAAAGTCAGAAATTATCAAAATGTAATGAATTCCGTGTTATAAGTATATATATATATATATATATATATATATACACACATATATATGCATATATATATGGTCACATAGAGATATATAGATGTAGAGATATACAAATATATAGCTACATGTATGTTCACCTGGTATGTAGATAGATCTATCTACATACCAAAATCTCAACATTATAAGTCGATAGTACTGTTATAAGTAGACAGATAGGTACAGATATATAAATATATTAAGTCCGATTTTGGCAGAATTCAGAAGTGATTCCACTTGTCTGAACAGAGCCTGGTGATGCTCTGCTTCAGACTTCACAAGGCCACTGCCTTTGATTCTCTTGACCAGGATAGCTCTTCCCACTTTCTCCCCTCCCTGCATCAGTTGGCCAAAAGGGTCAAACCAAAAAAGAAGCTTTCCAGTGGGTATCAAGAGAGGTACAACCACCGCAGGCTCCCTTCCCCTGCTTACCACAGCTCACCTGATACTTTCAAGAGCAGCAGATTAAATGTTTATGGTTTCAATCCAGAGCAGCAAGAAGTCTTCACGCTCTCAGTCGCCCCTGGTCCCCTTCTGCCGTGTCCTTGTCCTCTCTCAGGCTTGTGAGTTCCCAGGACGTTTAGTCCATCGCTGGTGGTTTTGGTGATAGCAGGTGTTGGATGGGCAGCTGCCAGTTAACAGATAAGGTTTTGAGACACAGAGAAGGGTTTGGAGCTGCAGTAAACAGGAAAAGAGATGAGAAGGCTTAAAATTACACTCTGTGAAACAAAAATCAACTACAGCTCTTTTTGAAGACCGTACGAGCACAATAAGAGGTGCTTACCTTTTCATGCAAGTTTGCAAAAATCCCCTGTCTCACAGCCACCTCTAATTTAAATGAAAAACATCAAAGTTGAGGTGTGTCCATCAGAGAACATGTAGTGCTAGACACAAGTAGTGCTAGACCTGAAGAAATTAGTATAGATCCATTAAACTTGACAGCTCTGCAGCATTTTACAGAAGCTGATATTTGATTTCCAAGAAGCATATTTTAGTTTTTCTTTTCTTTCAGCTGATAACAACCCGCATACTGAAGCCTGCCTAAGTACTTTTCTATTAGTAATGTACTAACTCTCTGAGCAAAATGAGAACTCACAGCTACATCTTTGCAATCATTTTTTCGCACCTTGTGTTCAAGTGGAGATATCTTAGAGTTTCTTTGCTTCCTTGGTGTTCCTTAAAGTATATTTTAGTGCATTCAGGACACATGGTCAAGGAAAAAAATAGCAGAACAAGAACAGGCTTGAAATTTTTTATTTTACACAATATCCTGAAATCTTTTTGTTGTTGTTGTTGTTTCATGTATTGCTGTAAATTAATGATAGTGCTTTATAAGTCAGGCAAATTATATACTTTTCATCATTAATCTTAGCAATGGGTAAGCACCATTTCCCTGACTTACAGGAGCACAGAGAACCCAAGAGCCTCAAACATGTGGCAGACCCAGAGCATGTCAGTCATTAAAGTTATTAACCCATTCTTCAGTACCAGTTAGCAGCTCCAGCACCACGCAGCTTTCCAGCCTGAGGGCTGTTGTGTAAATGGATAGTGAAAGGCAGTCCCAAAGAAGAGCACAGCTTTAAATTCCACAGACAGATGAATGAAAAGTGAGAAAATGGGATGGGAAATGAAAGTAGCAGCCTAGCAAAGGACCTGGCATGAGTCAGTAGCACAGTCAGAAAGAACAGGATGGTCCCATGGGATGCTCACAGTGCTGCAAACCTCCACGGCATCACTCTGCCTCCAAGCACCCAGCTTGTCTTATTGCTTAAGAGTCAGCACCACCTCCTATCCTATCTATTTATATATTCATTTGTTGCAGACTTAATTTCTGCAATGTTGTTTTAGTAGAACTTGATTTTATTTTCTTCTCTATATTCTTTATATTTTAATTATGTGATTAATAATATGTCAATAGTATGTCCCACCGTTACAGGCAATGATACAACACAATGTAACTCTGTTACATTTCCTTTTGTGGTTTTAAAGATCACTAAAGTCAATTTTCACTACTTCTTATGATCAAAACATCAGCCGGCTAAAGGTGCCACTTCTTCCATTGGATGCTTTTTGCATTAGTTTGGATGGTAAGTTATTAACACATACAAAAAATAAATGGTGATTTGACATGAAGCCAATAAAAGAATGAAAGCTTCTGTTAAAGACATGCCTGCATTTAAAAACGTTTATACATTTCCTAGAACAAACAAACAAAAAAAAAAAACAACAAAAAAAAAAAGACTACTATAATTTTTCTTGAGGTATTTTCTCTTGAATGCAAAAAGATTTCCATTCATTCAAGTTGTGTATTTTTAATTGGGAAATCTTTCAGTGCTGTATTTCCTCTGGTCTTGATTCTAGGTGGCCAGACAAAATGTGGTGGGACAGCAGGGAAACATCAGAGGAGATGCTGCACGCATGGTGCAGAGGGGAACATGCAGGACCTTGAAGACAAGGGAAAGATCTTCAACTAGAGTGTAAAAGGATAAATGATGGGTGGAGGGGGCTGGTGACTGGAGTGGTGGGAGGAAGTCTTCTGGCAGACCAGAGAGCCTTGCTGTGTTTCAAATGATATTCACATTTCTGCCTGGCTTTCAGAAAGGTTTGTGTACCTGTGCTGCTTCTGGCTGGGTGATATTCCTGACCCACAGCTGGCCCTTCAGGCTTGTCTCAACAAAGAAAGAAGATTTATCAGATGTGAGACAGTGTCTGATTTCTCCAAGGCAGCAAAAGGAAGGGAACAAAGATGAGTTTAGAAAGCAACAAATGTGGGTTTGGAAGGTTGTTATCCCCACAGGCGGGTGCGAAGTGGCAGCCTCTAGCAGAGGGGTGGCTTTTGGGGACTGTGGCACAAAGGACGATAATAACAATTATGGAAACCAATGGCAGATGCCTGCTTTGGGGGACAGGGAGGAACCAGAGGCATCCAGGGGAACACGCCACCTGGAAGGAGCAAGGGCAGACAGCACAGCTGGGCTTGAAGGCAGAGCAGATAAATAACTACCAGCGTGTTCACCAGTGCGGGTCCTGGCTCCTGGCTGTGCACTGGCTCCTCAGCTACCAGCCAGGCTAAAAATGCATGGAAAATATCACTGTGGGATAAGCCTCCCAGCTTGTCCTCTCCTGCTTGGGTGCTGGGGGTCAAGTTTTCAACATGGGGGCTGGGGAAGCTCACACCCCAGGGCTGGGTGCCAGGCAGGTCATGCTTCCCCTTAGCTGTCACCTGCTGCTGTCACCACTGCAACAGCGCTGGTGTGTGTGTAACACACCCTCGGGTGACGTTACGGTTTCTGCTGCTTTATCTTCTTTCATTCTCCCTTCAGAGTGGGAAAAAAAAACATGCAGCACTTTGCCTATCCAAGAATTGGTCAGCCCAAAAGTCACCACCACATGACAGTGACGTGGAGGCCCACACTCCCAACCACTCACAGCCCCAGCAGGCCGAGAGGCTCCGCCACAGCCCTGCTTTAAAAGGAAAAATGCCACAACCAAAATGCATCTTGCCATGAAACAAACAACATGGCCAAGCCCTCAGCTCCTGCAAATGACCAGATTCACACGTGTCCAGCCCCTGACAGCAGTCTCAGAGGGTTTACCTCACCCATAGCACTACAGCAGCTCCTCGGCCTTGGGGCAATGGCCAGCTTAACGTCTGCAAAGCTGCTATGCCTGCTCTTGTGGAAACCTCTCCTTCCTCCTACAGATGATTTAGATTACTTGAGCTCGAATACAGAGAGGAAACTGTGGTTGTGACAGAAGATGCCACCGGCAAAACTGTGCTATAGCCTGAGGGGTGTGGGTCCGGCCCTTTGACGGGGCTGGTGCCAGGCCCCTTCCCACCACACGTGCTCGGTGTTGGTGTGACTGCAGATAAGAAAAGGTGGGAAAACCCATTCATGCTGCCTGGTGGTATATTTCCCAAGAGAATAAAATGTCTGAAGTATTTCACGGACCTGCTCGCTATGGCAGCAGCCGGCTGGAAGGTGAGGGGCAGGTTGGTCTCAACGTGGTGCTCTGCTTCCACCCGTTGCAACGCTGGGCGCTCGTACCCGAGAAGAGCAGTTTCCTCTGCCTTTGTTCAACAGCAAAATGAGAGCAGCTTCTTAGTCAAAATGAGGCCTTTCCCTCTTAAATCTGCTCTCGCTTTACAGCTTGTAATGTGGCTGAGGGCTTTCTCTGATGTATCAAAAGAGGAGTTGAAAAGGTGATAGAGCAAAAGAGGGAACAAAACTGGGACTGCTGATACTGAACCAAAAGGACATAAGGTTTCCTCCGTCCTCCTTTTGATAGAGTGATGGAGCAAAATTTGAAATGCTTTATGAGCAGATAGGTCTAACTTTTACTATGTTTAGTTAGAATGAAGGAAGTTTAGAAGGTTTGTATTACTTAGCCAGTTTCATCTGTAAGAAAATACAGAATTGTATCTCAAAGTGAGGGCAAGAGGACCCAGGTCTGGACAATGTGTCAGAAGATTAGGTGAGGAACTCATGCTATGCATACGTCCTTGGATGTGTAACCAACTAAGCTCAGTATGCATGTTGAAACAGTAAGATAAGAAAGAAAGAGATGGCCTGAGCATGCTCAAGAATTGGGTTCAGCCAATGAACACGGTGAGGAAGACAATCAGTGACTGCCAGAAGACTGCAGAAGACCACCAATAGAAACAAATGAGAATGCATCAAGGACATTTGCATATTTTAATGAATTCCAGGAAACAACATGAATATGTTAATTATTCATTGGAAGCCTACTGAATATATGTATTTTGACTGCATATACCCTTGGTAGTTGAGGAACTCAGCACGCACACTAGCTGGAGAGATCCCCTGTGCATCCAGCGCTGCAAGAAAAGAATGCCCGCTTTCTAAAATTTCTTTGACCAGCTTTTATGGTATCACAACATTGTTTAGTCAGCCCATCGCCATTGTGGAGGTACAGACACATGTCAATATGCCATATGGCAGAGTGGCTTCTTTCTCGTTCTTAAAATAGGGAGAGCATATTTATATCCTGTGTGTGCCTAAGGTGGAAGAGGTTTTTTGAAATTATGTTTTTTTGTTGTTGTTGTCAGCAAGAAGGTATATTTAGGTTGGTTAAAATGCCCCTGAAAGTGCCAAGTTGTTCCGGGGGGATTTCTGCCTCCAAAATAGAGAAAAAATTATGAAGAACTGTCACAATATTTTATGTTGACAAGTTGCGGCTAAAATGTTGCAACTTTTCATTTTCTGAATGTGCCACTTTCAAATATAGTGGCTTTTTAATATACATAAATAACCTCTTCTTCCAAATCTTCTTCCTCAAAAGCACACAGGCACTACAACTTCAAAAAAATTTCCGGTAGAACTAAGATGCATTGGTTTTGCTGATAGAAGATAGAATTTGATTATTTTTTTTTCAGCTTGGTCAGCAAAAGTATTGACTCATATTACGGTAAAAAAGCGTTTATGGTTTCCGACTCATAGAAGGGTGTATTTGGCATTGTTCTGCCCACCTCTCCTGAAGCAGATGCTCGGTGCAGAGAAAGAAGCTGGAAGCTGGGGAGTCCTCCAAAAACTGTTGCTGAGTTTGTTCAGGAGAAGCAGCTGGAGGTGCTCTGTGGGGTCTGGACCACCTCCCTCTGCTCCACACTCTGCCTTCCTCTGCTGGCACCAAAGCCACACAGATTCCAGCATTGACAGCTGCAGCCTTGCACAACTGCTCTGTTTCACCAGAACAGAAATCAGCGTGTTGCAAAATTTCCAGGACAAGCAGCTCATTCATAACAATGCGAGCAGGGAGTGGGATTTTCTCAATCATGTTTTGCAGCAGGGGCACTGCAGGACAGAAAGAAGCAAACAAATACATCACTTGCACAGAGGATCCCCAAGAACGAGACCCTTCTCTGCTCATCCCTTTGCTGATGCTCCTTTCTCACCCTGTTTGTTTTGTTTTGTTTTGTTTTTTTCTCACTCAGGTTTTTAATCCCTTGCTGTCCTGCACCTTTGGAATGCCAGCACATGGGCACCTCTCACATCTGCACCCTCTGCTTTGCCTCAGGGTGGAGAACTGAGAAGGACGCAAGCAAGGATAAGTTAAAGAGATGGCAGAAGTCTGAGCCCAGTCCCTGGCTGGAAGGCAGAGCCATGTCCCACTGTCCGTCCTGCCACAGAGTTGCTAAGCCTGCTCCTACAATCCAAAAGGATTTGTGATTTAAGTCAGTTATTTGTCCTTTCTGTAGAAGATCAGTTGCTGCTTTCTTCCAGCTGCTTTACAATATTCAAAGGTCTTGTTCTTTTTTAAGCTAAATAGCTCATATTCCATCTTTTTTTTTTTTTTTTTTTTTTTTTTTTTCCTTTTAGGTCATGCTTTCTAAATCGTTAATTGTAGCCACTGTTCTCCTCTGGCAGCTGCCTGGCTGTCCTTAATCTTTTTCCATCACGGTGCCCGAAACCTGACACAGAGCCCCAGCTGAAGACTGACCGCAGTGAAGCAGAGTGGAGAAGCCCCCTCCCTAGGGAAGCTGTCAACTTCTGCAGTCACGTAGCACTGCTGATTCATGCTTCCTTTGCTGGATGCCAGCCCTGAGTCCTTTTCTCCAGAACTGCTGCCTTCTTCATCCTGTGGCCTTGGCTGAACCTGTCCTAATGCAGAACTGGGCTTGCACTGTTTCTCTTCCCTGAAGTGCAGCCCATTGCTCACAGGCTTTTTAGTTCATCAAGGTTACTTCAAGTGGCCATCCTGTCCCTCTGTGTCTTTGCACCCCCTCCTAAGGTGGCGGCATGCAGAAATAAAATGATGAAAACCTGCAGTGGTCCTTCATCCAGAGCATTAATGGACATGTTGACTCCTGCAGGGGAAGAGAGTACCCCAGGGGTTCATACTGGGTCCAATCTTGTTAAGGATCTTCCTCAGTGGTCTGGATGATGGATCAGGGTGCACCTTCAGCAAGTTTGCTGGTGATACAAAGCCAGGAGAAGTGGCTGATAACACTAGATGGTCATGCTGCCATCCAGAGGGACCTGGACAGGCTGGGGAATAGGCTGACAGGAATCTCACAAGATTCAAAAAGGACAAGTGCCAAATCCTGCACATGGGGAGGAACAATCCCATGTACCTGTCCATGCTGGGGCCACCCAGCTTGAAAGCAGCTTGGCAGAAAAGGACAGTGGGGGTCCTGGTAGATACCAAGTTGGATATGACCTAGCAAGGTAACCTGGCCAAAAAAAAAAAAAAAAGAGCTGCGACTCTTCATCCTGGAAGAGAGAAGGTTCACGGGGATCTCAACAATGTATTGAAATCCCTGAAGGGCAGGTGCAAAGAGGATGGAGCCAGACCCTTGTCAGTAGTGCCCAGTGACAAGACAAGAGGCAACAGGCACAAGCTGAAGCAGAGGAGGTCGGATATGAACATCAGGAAACGCTTCTTTACTGTGAAGGTGACTGGGCACCAGCAGGGGTTGCCCCAAGAGGTGGGGGAGGCTCCCATGTCCAAGGAGGGGCACACATGGTGTGGTTCTATCTCTCTGATCTCCCCCTGCCCTCCCCGAGGACGAGATGAGAGGCTGAGAGGCTGTGCTCAGGCTGCTGCCCACGGAAAGGTGTGATGAGGGCTCAGTAATGTCACAGATAAATCTGTATCTGAGCTTTTGATAAACAGGAAGCTACTGAGCAGCTTTATAGTTTTTCTTGTCTTTTTTTTTTTTTTTTTTTTTTTTTTTAGTTTCTTTTGGTCTGGTTTTTGTAGCTATTCTTTTTTTGCTTACTTCATCTCAGGAAACACATTTTCTGCCACCTCTTGCAGGAAATGTGCAAGATACAAAAAGTGTTTTGAAAACCTCATGGTTAGCTCAGCCTGCTCAGAGGGTGGTGGTGAGACGGAGCACCAGGCACCAAGGACATGGCAGTTGCACTGGAATAAGCCCACAGCTGAGTTAAGAACAGTGGTAGTAAAGCTAAAAGGCTTTGACTTTGCAGAATAAAGACACTTACAGGCATTTGTGCTACAATCAGACTTTGTACTGGCATCAGAAGGGACTTTCAAAGCTTTTTGGTCAAGGGTATTGGGGCACAGCTGCTGCCCACAGGAGCAGGCTCTTGGGAATTTATTTTCAACATCAGAAGACCACCAGGGATCTGCTGCCCAAACGAGGCTCCCCCACCATCCACACTGCTGCAAACGAGAGCAGCCCTGCTGCAGAGCTTGCTGGGGAGAGGGATGGCCACAGCAGGAACACAGCCTGCAGGGACCAGTGCTCACCATCATTAAACCCGCTCCTGATCTTGCATGCCTTCAAGCCTTCTGTTATTTCTGGAAGGGGTGAATATTAACCAGACGCATTTTGAGCAAGAAGAAAGGTGAGACCAACAAGAAGTTGGGTTGAGGAGGATGAGGGGTGTCTTTCCAGTACGTAGATGATTGGGGCAGGTTTCCTTCTCGCTGCCAAACTGCAGTTTCCTGTTTTCTTAGTTTGCCCAAAGCACGAGAGGGTTTCTACTGGGTTTTGAATGAGTGGGACAAAACAGATGATTTTTTTGACACTGCATAGGTAAAATCTATTTTTCTTTTTACGACCCAGATTTTTTTTTTGCTGTCTGACTCCTTTCTGATACACTCCAATAATTCCAAGAACCATTGCGATTCCATACCTCCCCTCTTACAGGCTTATAGGCAGCAGAGTAAAAAGTTAAAAGCTTAGTTCACATTTTGCAGTCACTAGGTGTGAACGTGTCTTTCTGAGTAAGACCAAACACAAGACCAACTTCTCCAACACAACCAGCAAAAGACAGGGGTTATAGTAAGCTGTCCACATTTCTTGAGGAGAGCGAAGGACATCTGAGAAATCTGGAAACTGAGTTGAGACACAATGCTTTAAGCAATCTTTGAAGAAAAAGGAAGTTCTCAGATTTGTCTCAAACACTGAATGTTGATAATGAAAAAGATTGCCTTGGAAATGAAGCCTGTCCTTCATTTACCCAAAGTGCTGTTCTGCCTGTTTCATCTTTATTCTACCAAACATGTGCAAGGCCAATGATGCCAAACTCAAAAAACCTTCCCAGCGTGAGCTTTTCTTGAAGAAGGGCCCAGAGTGCAGGTGGTGGCAGGCAGTGCCAAGAGAGCCTCGCACCTCGCTTAGCCAACAGTGGTTGTCATAAGCTGAGGCAAAGAGAGTTTGTCTTTCTGAATGCTTAGGGCTCTTATCAGAAATGGGCTCCAATGACAGAGCAGAAGAATCCCCATTTATCCCTGCTGTATCTCACTTTATTTCCCTAAGTCTCCAGTTTTGGAAAATTAAAAAGAGAAAATTACACCAGAAATTCTCCACTGAAACGCAGTAAAACGGATCTACAGTTCAGGACAGCAAAATGAGATTATGCTATGATTATACGATGAAAAAAAAATGCACAATGTTTTGGGGTTTTCTTTTTCTTTTGAAATATGAATGGGTATTCTGATAAGCCATCAGACAATTGACCACATATACCACAGGAGGTTGACATTTAATGCGCTTCCCAGCAATGCATGCAGTTCTACAATATGAGTGTGCTCCTGACATGATTTCCTTTGACTTCTCAGTCTTAAGCTTTGTCTGAAGCACACCTTTTTACTCTCCCATTGCACAAAAGGATGAAGATTACATAGAGAAATAAAGCATTTGTCTTGAGACTCTCTAGATATCTGTGACAGCAAATGGCAATTGCATTACTCACCCTGTTAAAAATTCAGCCCTGTCTGCATCTGGGAGTCACTCACAAGCCAGAGATGCTCTTAATACAAAACTGTTTTTTGGTATATCTTCAGTCAATGGTCCCAAACTATGGCCTGAGGGTGACAACAAAATCATACAAGAGATCTTCAGGTGTTACAGGACTGTGTTAGAAGTAGCATTTTTTATCCCTCCATCAGACTCCTGATCCCAAGGGTGCTCTGAGAGATTCTTTCGGAAATAATTTCATGCAGGCTTTAGGGCACGCATGCAACCAACAAGAAGACTCAGGAGCAAACTGAGGAGTCTGGAAAGGACTCAGACAGGTCTGTCTAGCAAACGTAGCCACAACTACAGTGAGCACACTCCTGTTTCAGTCTGGCTGTGCTTTCCCAGAGCATGCACAACAAGGGGCACAGCAGGAAGTTCTGCCTGCTCTGGCTGAGAATGAATCTTACATAAAAATAAATAAATACATAAATAAAATTAAAAAATATATATATTTAAAAAGCAAAAGGAAAGGAAGAGTTCCCAGCAGAGCCAGCAAAGTGTTCGTTCACTTGGCAGCACGGGTGGTTGTGCCAGCACAAGGTGCCCCAAAATCACCCTCCTGGACTGTGGCCACTGCAGATGCAAGGTGCAGTGGGAGGAGGGGGCTCACCTGCTGGGGAGGGAAGTCCCATGCATGGAAAGAAAATCATGCTTTCGTAAATGTCAGCCGAGGGGTTAAACAGAGGTCTCCTGTTTCACTTGACTCATTTTTGGAGACCTAGCTACGTGCAAAAAGGTGAATTCTTTGGCCAGCACCAAAGTGTGAACACACAGTGCCCGAGTTGAACACATCCTCTGCTCCCTCACTCGCGTACCTGGGCTTCAGATCCTCCCTCAGCTCAGGCACAGGCACTGGGGGGCAGCTTGCAGGAGGTGGCAAGCCTTGGGGAGCTGGCAGATGCCACCAGAAGCCTCGGGGACACTGGAGTGACCAAGTTTGCAAGCAGGTGCCGGCACAGCTGGGGAGGAGGAGGTGCGGGGCAGAAATTTGGGCTCGCAGGGTACAGAATATGAAAGGGGGGTGCAAAAAGGAAAACGAGAGGGCTACTGGGAGGCTTTGGGCAGGTCGTCCCCAGCTCTAGGTTGGCAAAATGAATTCCCACACACATCTATACCTCCGTACAGCACCTACCTCCCTGTCAGCTCTGCTTCAGCCTCCTTCTTCTCCTTCTCCTCCTCCTCCTCGTGGTGCAGGAGCTGTGTGGAGGCAGCGGGCAGCCGGAGCAGCTTTTGGCAGGGCCAGCAGCTGCTGGCCACGGGGGCTGTACGGGCAGCAGGAGCGGAGCCTGGCACGGAGACAGCGTTTTGGGCTTCCCCCCTTCCCGAGGGCTCAGCTACACACAGAGCCCAGTTTTCTGGACCGTGCCTTTCCATACATGAAGGCTGCGGTCTCCCCGGTGGCTGTGGCTGCCAGCTGGCTTCTCCTGAGGTGGGGTCCTGGCGTTGAACTGCAGATTTTACAGCAAGCCATGAAATCACATGAAAAGCTCTGTGCTGGAGCAGTGCGGGAGCAGGGAGCATCTTCCCCCTGGGGTCCTCTGGGGTCTGCTGGAGGTGTCCCCATGGAGAGGCCCCCACCAGAGTCTGCTCCAATGGCCAGGACACCCTCCAGCAGGGGAAAGGCACATTTAAGTCTTGGTCCCACCCCAGGGGCATCTGGGCAGCCCAGGAAGAGCAGCAGGAGGAGGAATGCAGACAGCGTGTGCTGGTGGCACCCAGACAGTGAGTTATCCAGACCCCAGTCACTGACAGGAATCCTAACAAACCCGGACACAGATGTCCCTAACACACCCGGACACAGATGTATTGGTGTCCACATGCTGGGCACTCCTTGGACAAATATCTGACATCTGTGGGCACGTGGGCACAAGGCTGTGAGTGAGTTTTGTGTTAAAAAAATTAACTGCTCCTGAGTTTTGGGCTGAGCCTGGCTGCGTTGCTCCTACGTGTTGCAACACTATTATTTCCTTCAACGCTACAGCCAGCCCTGGGTGCTGGTCTCATCCTGCTGCTGCTCAGCCTCCCTCTGCTTTTTTGGGTACACAGTGCCCAGGAAAAGAAAACCTGTCATGATGTGAAAAGCAACCAACAGGAAAACCACAGCTTCTCTTGCTTCTGCAGCAAATCTTCTTTGCAAATCATAGAAACCTCCACTTTGAATGAGCTTCCAAGGTAGCCACAGTGCCCAGCGAGGACTTCATGGTTGCAGGAAACCCAAACCTCCTGTGTTTGCACCCAAGCTGTCTGAGAGCAGTATGGGACATATGGGGTGTGTGGACATCCATCCTCCTGCAAGTCCTGCCCAGCGTGGCACAAAGCTGCCTCTGGCAGGACTTGAGGAGGGATGTCCCTCCGAGCAGCAATCCCAGTTTGGGAGGACAAGCCAACATCCAGCCAAACCTGCCCTCACTTCACCAGCCGTGATGAAACACAGCTGAGATGTGCGACCTGTTTCTGCAGCAAGAGAGGTCTCCTACCACAAAAGACAGGTGAAGAGCTGAGGTGAGCAATGAAGCTGGGTAAAGAGTGAAGATCAAGGCACAGGGAGAGATGCCACGAACCACTAGGACAGGGCAGGATGGGTGGTGCAGCACCAGGAGCGTAGGATTAAACACCTTGCATGGCCTTCAGCTGATGGCCATGCTTGAGCTCAGCTTTCTTTTGCTGCCCTCTCTCTCGTCTGTCTCTCTCGCTACACTAACCTGAGGTTAACCAAACTCTTCTGCCAGCACCACCAGACGAACACAGAGATAATCTTCTGCCCCTAGCGAACACTTAGCATAACCTGCTGCGAACTGAGAGCCGAATCTGGCCTCTGAGCATCCTGTTCCCCTTTGCGCGAGGCCTATTTGAATACATGCCTTAGTTTCCACTTTTGGCACTGCAGCTGTGCGCCCCTCCGGCCCTGCAGAGCTGGTGGCTGGCCGCCCACACACCCCGTGCTCCATTACCACCTCTCTTCAGCACCTCCTTGCACACCCTGGGGCTGCCACTCCACGTTCCTCTGGAAAAGAGGAGACATCTGCCAAGGCACGCGTGCTTCCTCCCATTGCCCCACAGTTTCTTCATTGCCCCGCTCTTTCTCCAATAAAAAAAAAATAAGCCAAAGCATCTCAAGAACAGGTTGATTAAAGATGTCTTTGCATCTGGCCTGAGGTCCTGACGCCAAAACCCACTCTGAGGAAACATCCTGAACATTCACCATCACGCATCGGACCCCGATTGTCGTCACGGGACTGTTCGTGTTGCTGCCCGCAGTGCAACACGGGCAGAGGTTACAAAACATCTCGTGTGAAGGGAAGGGTCCGGGCCAAGCCTGGAAGGGAAGCAGCGGGAAGAGGAAGATGAATTAAGGCCTGGATTGTCCCCACCCACCCCACTACCTGTTTTTCCTTCTGCACAAGTAAAATTAAGAATATATATTTTTGATCACCGTGATGGCTTCAGATCCACAGCAGGACCACAGCTCACTGCCGTGGATGTCCCCTCCCCTCCTGATTTTCCCTCGCAGCCAAGCACAACCCAGAGGGTCAAATTTGGCCACATGGGTGCAGACCCAGTAACCACGAAGCACTGGGTAAAATGCTGCTGGGATCTTTCTTTCTGGCCGTATTTCATCCTCCCATCCCTGGTGGGGCTCATTTACCCTGACTCGGTTCGATGGGAGCAGAGGGCTCTTGCGGTGGCTGAGACAAAGCTGAGGAGGGGAAATGCAGTGAGTTTGGGAGCCAGCCTGTGGATGTGGTTTTACGCCAAAGGGGGTTTCATAAGGCAGGTGGTTCTCACCTGAGCTGTCAGCTTTGAAACAGGGACCTGCTGAGCACAGCTTTTACTTCCCAGCCCTCTCCAATCCTCGCTTCTTGCCAGCAAGGACTGAAGCGTCCTGTGCTCCCCCAACCCTGCAGTTTTGGGCTGGCAAGAGAGCCACCACAAGGGCATTTGACTCAGCTTCAGATGGGCAAGGCACTTTGTCTTCCAGTCAGCCTCAAAGCAGGCTTTAGAGAAACCTGTGTCTAAGCTTGTGTTTAGACCAAATCTGATTTAAACAGGGCTTATATGAATTCAGCCCGCCGTGATAGGAGGAAGGTACGCAGCTGATACACAGATACACAAACCCATGTAACCAGACTTCTACTGAGATTTCACTCACATGGTTTTGTGCTGCTTTAACTGTACCAGCTCGTAACCACAAGTTTTGGGTACAGGCAGACGAATCTTCATAAATTTTTATGGCAGCAGTCTAGATGAGCACCATGTCCCACCCGTCCTCTGCCAGCATGTAGAAGCCCGCAGGAGCCCAGCCTGCTAGTGCCCAGCCCTGTTTTTCTCGCCTCACGTGGGAACCTTGAGAGAGAGCTGCAGAAGCCTGTTGTTGTGGTGTTTTCTTCAAGGTGTGACTTTATTTTTGCCTGGCTGTCCATAGCAGAAGAAGTAAACCTGTGGCTGTTCTATTTATAGGACTTTTTTGGGCCTGCTTGCTCTCTGCCTCTGCTACATTGGGGTTGAGAAGTCTGGTTTCACCAGGAGAGTTCCCTCCAGAAACAAACAAACAAAGGCTCAAAGCTTTCTCAGCCCTGCAGTGGAAATATGCTCAAACCTGTGACAAACATGTTTTCTTCAAAGCCTTCCTCCTGCCATTTGAGGCAGAAAGATACGAACAAAACAAACAAACAAACAAAAAACCTGCAAAGAGGAAAACCACTTCCCATCTCTATTAGTCATCTTTCATTCAGCAGGTATCAGAACATCTCAGCGCTCAGATGCAGAGCACTTCAGGAAAAGCAGAGGAGTCAAACCTGATGTGTGCTGTGAAGGCAGGCAGGATTTTCCCCTTTCTTTTTTACTTGTATCTTAATTTGTGAACTTTCTTACTTAACATAACGATGCGTATGCAGGCCAAGGTGCAAGCAGTGTTATTTGTTCCCTCTGTAATCCAGCATCACTGACTGCAGCTCTGACAAATTCGTTTCATCTCTTTTTGCCAGTTTTTGCATGCTTCCATCACTCACCTCACGGAGATAATTCAGAACAACCCTCCTTAGGGCTTATGAGCAATGCTGATGTACCCAGGTGGAAGCCAGGACAGTGCAAAGTATCATGGCATCTTTGAAAAAGGGAACATAGAAACCTAAATAGCTCACTATCATATTGAGTGGTTTTTATCAGATAAGGTGTGGAAGTATGAAGGGATGAAAGACACAGATGGCTCTCGAACAGAAGGCCTTTATTACCATTTTTCACCACTACATATACATTACCTGTAGTCCCACGTGCTGTCCACGTGCCCAAACCTGTCATACAGTTGGTTAGAGACCCTCAGACACACGCCTTGAGCCAGCCAGCAACTGGCCCCTGCCCAAAGCTCATCCTTAATGCTGCAGCCAAGTTAATTTACCTCGACCTTGCTCAAGGTTTTGCTTCTACCGCTTATTTCCTCATTATCTCTAATTCAGGGACGTGCGAAACAGCGCAAAGCCACCTGTGAATGCCTTCCCCACAATTCCCCCTTTTTTATTTTCAACCAACCAAACACTTTCTGTAGATTTTTCTATCAAGCACTGCAGAGACTGCAATAAGCAAGGTACAATAAGCAACAGGTTGAAAATCACAAGCAGAATTACGACTGTAAAGCAGCGTGCCTACTAGAACCTACATCAGACAACAAGCCACTAAGCACTAGGGACGTTGCTTCGCAGCAATGCTGCGTCTCACTCGCACAACACAATCACAGTCACACAAAGAGGATTTGAGAATTTTGTACTTCTCATTCATACCACAAAAAAATATCACTTAAAATAATTTCTATGTGGCTTCAGAAGGTCCTTGTCTACTCCCATGGTGAGCAGCTGAGAGTGGAGGCCCCTCTGAGGAAAATGCTCGGGGTGCACCTAGGGGTGTCCACTCCACAGTCGATCCCACAGCTGAACAGAGTGGCTCCTGGCGCAAGGAATGAAGCTATTATAGTTTTGTATAATTACACCAAAGAGATGCATTGCAATAAGGAGCAAGTGTGGCGTTGATGATTTGTTTCATGGTTTGCTTTTTGCCCATGTAATTGAACCTTACACATGCTGCTGCTGTTACGCCTCCCAGGATATCTAATTCCTGTGGCTCTGGAACAGACAGTCCAGTTTTTGTTATCTGCTGGGTTCCCCACCAGACCTGTCATAAATGGGTCACTAGCACTAGCCAGGGACAGGCACATCGCTTCTTGTCCTGTCATGTTGGCGAGGATGACCCAGATGTTGCAGCCTGGTTGGATGGAGACCCAGGGCTGGCAATAACCGATGACAGTGGTGATTGTGAGGAGGAGGCCACCCATGGCCTTACTCCCCTTGCTGGTACCCATCTTGGTCCATGACCTGTGGAGACACAAGCATACCCTCAACCCCAAGTTATTGAGCCTGGGGTCCCTCCCAAAGACCTGTATTTATTTTTTTTACCATTACTGAGGCCTGTTCTGATTGGGGCACCCGTGACAGTGTGGAATTCATATTTTGGTAATGTTTTACTATGGGCGGTAACTCTTTGTGAAGAAAGGGTAATGATAGGTGATTCATTACGTAAAGTGCCTTTCCCAACCTGTTCTGTGGTGTTTCCTAGGTGTCTCCCCCTTTTGGTTTATTTAGCAGTGTTTTCAAGGTGCGATGTGTGCGCTCAACAATGACTTTACCTGTG